GAAAAGCATAGGCTAGTCCTTGAAATGTATGGCTAGTGTGTGCTGTGTGTGTTGTGCTGTTGTGTGTGTGTGTGTGTGTGTGTGTGTGTGTGTGTGTGTGTGTGTGTGTGTGTGTTTGCATGTGTGCGCACATGTGCACACGCGCACGTGTGCGTGTGAGACAAAACGGAGATGGAAATCTGATGGATGTGGTTGCATTATGCTGAGTAACTGCCTGGTGTAATGGCATGTGCTCCAGATAAATATCCATCCAGAGAATGGTGCAGACACGTGATGAATACTGATCAATATTGATTGATTGATTGATTGATTGATTGATTCATGCAGAGACTCAGAGACTCTCTGTATTCTGTGCATCACAGATGGGTGACACGACTTGTGATCAATGCTAAGGGAAGCCTTCGCAAGCAATCTTATTGGAAAGCAATAGGTTAAGCGTGCAGGTCCCAGTGCTGCTGGCTCTTGGAAATAACTCATGCATCTGTAAATATTCATCTGGTTATCAGACGCTTAAAGCATTCTGTCCAGTAAAATCTATGTCTTGTACCCAGCAGCACTGTTGAATTACACTTGACAAAAGCTCCCCCTCTTTCTGTTGCTAATGAGGACCATATTACAGTTTCTCTCAAGAAAATGTCAGCCCCTCAGCCAGAGCTCTGAAGCCTGACTGTGTTGTTCGACGACGCCAGTTCAGAGGGACTGAAACTGCCCTGAAGAGGTGTGATTCATTTCATGCGTCTAAAAGGAAATTAAAGTTCATTTTTAAACTGAGGAATGTGTGGGTCGATACACTCTGGCTTATCAATAATCCCCCCAAGGCGTGACTGTTCATTTATTAGTTTAGGTATAGGTAGCTGCGCAATTTATGCACATGCTAACATTTCATATAGAGTAAATAATGTTGTATGCAGTACAGCCAGCCCCAGCTCACATGAAATGGATTAGTACAGTGAATGAGGAATATGTGCAGCATTAATGTTTGGCTCTGACCTCATCGCTCCCCACAAGGAAACACCAAGCTCAGCACAGCGGGGAGTGTGAGCGATGGCAACAGACCCCCCCCCCCCTTTAGGAACTCGGAGGCTGCAGGTGGAGGTGAGGCTCATAAACTATATGAACAACAGCAGCAGGGGCAGCAGCATAAGCAAGCGACAGTATAGCTTTCTGGTTAGCATTGTGGCGAGCAGAGTACCAACAACTGCAGTACATGATTTAGACGTAAAGGGTGCCATGGATATCCAGCATGTTGCAGTGTAGTGGCAGATTCGAATTGACTGTCTTATAGCTTATAGGCTTTGCCTCCTTTCTAATATTGTTCATGACATTTAGACACACAGATCACGAATCTGAAGAGTGTGAATAAAGGAGCTATGAAGTTTAATGGGCCAACAGTTTTGTATTTCAGATGCTCAACCAGATCGAAATCTTGTGACTGTGAAGGCCGTAGCATAAGCTTCCCATCATTTTCATGCTAAACCATTCAGTGACCTCTTCCCCATACACTGTAGGAAAGCATCTGCATTCATTGTTTATTCATATTTGGTTTATTGAGGTTAAAGGGTTAATGTGAGGTTAACGTCCCTAATCTGTGTACATCGGAGAGATGAAGTCATACAGAGCAAGTTGTATCAGAGCAAAGGAGTAACATGCTATGCGTGAGCTGAGACAGTTCACTAGGTTTGTATGATTAGTCTCCTTTCTTTCTCTCTGAGCTACGTACACAAACACACAAGCTCACATTTATTCATAAAGTAGTTTCTTTTCCATGAACCAGTCATCTTTCTCAGAGCTTATTTAAACCAAATTGAGAGACTCACTGAGAGCAGCGCCCTCATTCCACGTCAGTGTAGAGCAACAGCTTTATCCTCATAACACTTATTTCACCCTGTGTAATGGACATTTGCGCCTTACTTACACATGATTGGTCTTTAGGTTCAAAGCAGGCAGTTAGCCTTTCAGCAAAAGGTCTTTCATTGTTAGTCAGAAGAAGAGAGCTGGATAAATCAATTCAAATTCTATTTATTTGCTCCTACTGTTTTCACGTTGTTCTACACGTGTGTCATGTTCCCAACACAAATAGTGACATACCTCCCACTGCCATCCTCTCTCCTTCCACCTCCTTCTTAAAACATCACCACCTGTCCTCCATCCTGTCAGACTGTCACATCACTCAGCCTCAGCTTTCAGCTCGATGTCAACGCGTTGCAAAAATCCACTTTGAATCTTGACAAATGTTGTCCTGCCTTTTTTTTTGTGTTATGAATAATTCAGCAAGGTGAATCGCTTTAAATGCATGAAATATAAGTGAACAGCGTTTCATCGTGTTCATCGCAGTAGCAGTTTTAAATGAATTAAAAGTCCATAAATAAAAGGCCAGACTGACTAAACTTCACCTTTACACTTATGCCCTTAAAGGAGCTATTTGTAAGTTTAGCTAATGCTACATAGCCAACATTAGCATTAACAGCTGTTAATTTACCAGCTTGTGTTAGCTGACATTACAGTACATTGTAGCATGGCACAGATAAACATGATAAAGGCTTGAAAGGAACTGCCTCGAGAGGATCTTGGGAAATGAAGGCAAATTCAATGTTTGATCATCCTGTAGTTACCAGTTGTGGCCGCAAAAGTAATGTAAATATGCCAAATGTTTTATCTCTTCACGCTGGCGACAGCCAGGGATGGAGACATTATATTTTCTGGTTGTCCATCTGACCGTCCATATGTCTCTACGTCTGTACATCCGTCTCTACGCCTGTCCCATTCACGTAAACGCAATGGCTCATTAATGCCTTGAAGAAATTTCTTAAAATTTGGCACAAATGTTCACTTGGATTCAATGATGAACTGATTGGATTGAGGAGGTCAAAGGTTACGGTGACCTCACAAAACACAGTTTTGGCCTCGTGAATGTGATATCTCAGCAACGCTCAGAGGGAATTTGTTTAGATTTGGCACAAACATTCTCAAAGACATTATCTTCATCAAACTAAATATAAATAAATGAATATTTGAAAAGAAATGTATTAATCAAAAAACTTTGTTTATAGGATATGCAACATATGTCAACAGCACAACTTTTGGCTCTGGTGCCAGATAAACATCCCATAACACCAGGCTTTGCAGACCTCTCTGAAGTCTGTATTGTTTCTCTGCTCACTTCAGTGAGGAAGCTCCTCATCAGCACAGTCAAGACCAGCAGGTCACTAAGTTGTAACGTGGTGCCACCATGTGGCCTTACATACATGGTTTCTCTCACATGCAAAAAGCATGTATATCATAACATTATCAGCACTATAGCAAAACATTTAATGAAGGACATTTTACATTCCTGAGAGCTCATATGAAAACCTTAATTATATGCACTACATTTGCAATAGTTAAACACCTAAGTTTGTAACGTGCTGAATCCTGAGCCTGTTTAACAGCTGAACCATTTGAAAAGTGCACGATTGCTCAGAAGTTTTTCGCTGCGAGGCCTCTTTAAGTACAAAGAACAGCGCCTCAGGTAGTGTTGCAAATTGATATTGTACTGTCCCAATACAGAGACATGGTTTAGGAAATGTATAATTTTTTAAATTACATTATAATTTAATTACATTATAATTGCACCTAAAGGGTGCACTTATAGGGCTTATTTCTTAATAACAATGAGACTGTGAATGTTTAAGAGCCATAGTCAAGGGTATAAAGATGGAAAGAGCGGCTTGGCTACTGTAATAGGATCAGCACCCCTCATACTCCCACTCACATGAGCCTTCATTACCACTAGCTTTGAGCTGGATTACTGTGCCTGGAGGTGATGCTTATTTACTGTATATGGTGATGTGTGTGGGTGTTTTGCTGATGCATATAATATATGTGCTTTACGTTCTCCAGCAGTGAACTGACTCCATACATCCCTCTCGGTTTTACTTTATAATCTGACTCTTGCAGCAAATTATACCTATATTCTCTATTTCTGTCATTTATCTAGAACATACTGATTTTATTCCTCACAATATCCAGTAAAATCCCAAAAGTGTTATAAGTATTAAATACAATTCAGTACATACTGTATGGCTGCAGCATTTGATGTAATAAATAAAGGCACAGTATATAACAATATATAATAGTTTTATCAAAGAAAATATCAATGTTGCTTTTTCTCGCAGTGTTTTCTCTTATGTCTCAGTTTTTTAATTTTATTACCACTTCCCTGTTTGTCTGCCTCTCTCCATCTCTCAGTCACTGTGAATCCTCTTAGAGGTGGATTATGGGACTAAGATACAGAGAGAGCGAGACAGTGAGAGAGAGAGAGAGAGGGAGAGAGAGAGAGAGAGAGAGAGAGAGAGAGAGAGAGAGAGAGAGAGAAAGAAGATGAGCATGAGGCTCACAGAGTGAGAGAGAAAGCGATTCAGGAAGAGATACAGAGAAGAGGGAGAAGAAAATGGAGAGACCCCCTCAGCCTGAAATGGGCCAGGAATGGGGTTGGAGATGGTCTGTAACCAGGGTGAGTACACCACCTTTTCCACAGGTGCCACGGGTGCACAATAAACATGTTTGTTCCTTCTAGAGAATACTGCCACATTTTATCATGTCATCTTTATTTATTGTCTTTATGTATTTATTGAGTAAGATTAAGAAAATTAGAAAACCATGACGACTATCACCTGCTGTCTGATTTAGCTCAGTTGAAGCCAGAACCTCAGTTTGGCTACAAGAGTAGCTGACGTGTATGTGTGTGTGTGTGTGTGTGTGTGTGTGTGTGTGTGGGTGTGTGTGTGTGTGTGTGTGTGTGTGTGTGTGTGTGTGTGTGTTTACTGAGTTACCTGAGGACAAACTAAAGTAACGTGTTAGACTGTGGGGATCACCTTCCTCTTAATTAATCTCACTTTCCTACGTTCATGTCTCATTAGTCATACTGAGACAAAGTGACAGATATATATAGCTTTGTGAATTAGACTGTGCTCTATGAAAAGAATATAATACAATCATCTTTTATGTTGTTTACCCCGTAGGAAGAGCCAGCAGAGCCTGATACACTCCGGAGTCCCACCCCCTTTCTCACACACAATGCAGGGACAGACTAACCGGGTGGCAACAATGTCTCTCCTGTCTTTAACCAACCCCCCGGGCTGGAGCGTGTGCTCTGCCCTCTGTATCCTCATCGTGTTGCTCCCAGAGGCCAAAGCAGACAACCTGAACACTACCACTCAGCGCAATGGCGGGGGTTCCCAGTGTGGGGAGTACACTAACCAGGTAATTATTATTAGCATACAGAACACACACAGCAAAATGATCTTATTACTGTCGTCAGTTTCCTCCTTTTACTCCAGAGATGTGTCAACTCTATGAAAGAGCATTTCAGCTCAAAAGAAAACCCGATAATGTTTCATTTCCAACTACATTTACAGAACTGAAAAAGTGACTTAATGATTGCAGTAACATTCTGCACTGCACATAATGTATATTTAAACATGCAAGACAGAAGTGGAGGAAGAAGCACTCAGATCCTTTTTTCCAGTAAAAGTAAAACAATGTAAAATAGTTTATTACAAGTAAAAGTCTATATATACTTCGACTGCCTGATTATTATACATGGTATTATTAGATTGTTGGTACTGATGTAATATTGTGTAAATGTAACTAGTTTATCCACTCAAGGTACACTGAGTTTAGTGCAGTTGTTCCCGACCTCTGGGACGGGCCCTTTCAGAGGGTCACAAGACAAATTTGATGGGTGCTGAGAGGAATAATGTGGCAGCTAAAAATCATATTACTGTAAGTACAGTACTTGAATACATGTACTTAGTAACTTTCCACCACTGCAGGACAGAAGCCAATGGCCATCAACTAGAGTCCAGAAAAAGCTTTGTTAATATAAGCCCAACCTGAAGCATTTAAGGTATAATTATTTTAAATTAAGACAGTTCAATATATTAAATTTTGAGACTGTGGTTATTTTTTCTCCATCCCACTCGAGATCATCAGTGATAAAACCCCAGCATGTTTCCTGGACCTCACACAGGTCTATTCCCAGTCTGACAAGAAGCTTCTCTTGATCAAATCTTCCTCATCAAACAGGTGATGGAGAACGGCATGTGTCGGCTGGTGGCCACGCTGCCTCAGCTGGACGAGCAGAGATGCCCGGATATGTTTCGCTGCACCGATGAGGTTTCCTACTGGCTGCACGAGAACGAGGAGAGGAAACAGCAGATTGTGGCGCTGAAGGAGACCATCTCTGAGCTGCAGGAGGAGCTGAGGAACCACCGGCACCGCATCAAAGTCCTCGAGCTGCAGGTGAGATTTCCATATCGACTTAACAGACCTGGGTCAACTATCAGTAACAATCCTCTCAGCTGCTTTGAGCACTTGCTCTAGTCAACGTGGAGACTCTCTGGATGTTGTCGCAATGTGACTGGTTACTTTTTCATAGACAGACAAACAGAACTTCTCTCCTCATAAACTTACTTTGTTCTTGAGTGTGTGTGGTATTAAATATACATGTCAGAACCAGACTTTTTGTTGAACATTTCCTCTGCTCAGGGGCCTTTTCAGACTAGACATAAGATGTTTGATCAAATAAGCCTTTGTTGTCTTTCACTTCAACAAGACTGTTCTCCGTACAGTCTGGCGAGCTGGTAAATGTCAGTGTTTTCAGTTTAGAGGAGGAACACTACATTATTTCCTTTGTAGACATCTGCACTGTAACGTGGTGCCTGGTCATCAAGCTGGCTTCCCCCCCAGCATGTCCTTGACCTTAGTCACTAACAGGATTAGCCTCCTACTCTTCCACGTGTTGCCTCATGCGTCTCAGGCAGTGAGCCCACACAAACAGAGAGTCTCAGCTGGAGCGGTCACTGGCCACAGGTGGACGGTAGAAAGAACTCATGTGCTGTACATTAGAAGAGGGCAGAGGAGAGGGCTACAGGGTTTGTGGTAATGGGAGTTAGTGTTATCCTCCATATCCAGGCTAGGAATAGACCACATTCTGAAGTGTCTGGCTTTAGGTTTTAGAACAGAGGACTCGTCCTTTTTGTCCTGAGAGCACCAGCAGACATCGCATGTTTTGAGGTTTAATGTCCACATAGAGATAGACTAGAAAAACTGAGTAGTCAGTTGAAGTCTTAGTGGACTTTATTTTAGTTACCCACCCAATGTCAGTGTCACTCCACCCTGGTGACCCTTGAGGACGGGTGAGGGAGCCACAAGATTTGTGAATTTTAAATTTTTTGCTGTATATTTTTAGTAACACAATGAGGCAAAATTTACATTTTAATATTACACTTTCAATCACGTCAAAACAGAGTAAACAAGCAATAAACACTGAGATCAGTGTATTAACAACCCACGTTAAATAAGCCACAATCCCTAATCTTGTCTGAAATGTAACTAAAATGCTAAAAAACTAAAATATAAGTTGTTGCTTCTTTTAAAGAAAATAAACCTATTTTACAATTTAGCATACTTCATATTTGTTATTTCAAGATCAATGTTATCTGCTAATCTGCACAGCAGCATGGCCAAAAATTGCCACATTTTTTCTTTTATGTCACTTAAACTGCTGATTGTTCATGTACTCCGTGTCACACAGTAACTGCATGTTTTTGGCTGTGCATCTGTGTATTTGCGTGGATAATGTCAGAGTGAAGAGAGAAACCATTTGAACATCTCCTTGGAACAGCGTTTTCATGAGCTGGAGTTGCACTATGCTGAAGCCACCACCCTGCTGCACCTTCAGGGCACTCTGATCTTGGACCTACAGGTACACTGTGTCTCCTTATCCTAACAAGCACTATTTCACTCTCAGTGAGGCAAAGAGCACATAGCAAATAGGTGGTTGTTGATAGTTTGACTGTTTGGCTTTCTGTTTAGAACCAGCTCCATAATCTGACGCTTTTGGTGAATAAAGTAAAAAGAAGCCCTGGCTGTTTGATCAACATCGTCCGGCCCAACCCTCTCATGAGTGCTCAAGAAGCCCTGCACCCAGGTACACACTTCCAGAAAACTCACATGCTATGATCTCCCAGCAGAGGGAGCCAAACCCACCTTGTTGATTTACTGTCTCACATTTTCTTCCTTCAGAGATTCAGCATGTGAGGAACTGCCCCATAGACTGTGCTTCTATCTACTACAATGGAGTGAGGAGATCAGGCCTCTACACTGTAGTGCCATCACTGGCAGGCATGCCTGTGGAGGTTTACTGTGACATGGATACAGATGGTGAGTCACATACAATATACGTACATGAACGATAGATGACACATTACACATGGGTAGAAAGTTGGCTTAGCTTCGACTATATTTCAACCGAACGGCCAGAGTTTCAGTCTCTGTGTTGGGATGCACACACTCCACTTCGGTGACACTGAGCAACACTGATGTGACACTAATGTGCAGCTGACCTGTCGTCCTCAGTTGAGCATGGCATATGGTTTCCTCCCCTTGCCTTCTTTTTGCCTCAGGTGGTGGCTGGACTGTGATCCAGCGGCGAGTTGACGGCTCGGTGAGCTTTGACCGCAGCTGGCGGGACTACAGGGACGGTTTTGGAGACCTGCACTCAGAGTTCTGGCTGGGAAACGACCACATACATGACCTGAGCACCCAGGGAGACTACAGCCTCCGCATCAACCTGGAGGACTGGACCAACAAGCACAAACACGCCCTCTACCAGAGCTTCAGGTCAGTGTCATGCCCATGTGTGCAAACAGGTGACAAACACATGCACAACCACCTGTATCTCATGCATAATCTCATACTGTTCTTCTGTGTGTGTGTGTGTGTGTGTGTGCGCGCAGTGTGGACGATGAGGAGCATCAGTACCGTCTCCATGTGTCAGGCTTCAGTGGCACGGTGCAGGACTCTTTCAGCTGGTACCACGACAAGCAGGGCTTCAGCACCCCAGACAGTGGTAACATCTGTGCTGAGATCTCCCATGGTGGCTGGTGGTACAACCAGTGCTTCTACGCCAACCTTAATGGCGTCTACTACAGGGTAAGTGCACACAGACTGACCTTCACTTTAAACTGTTAAAGTCCTGTGTGCTTACTACTTCTTGGTCCCGCAGGGAGGCCACTACACCCCTAAAGGACGGGGGCCGCTGGGTCCTGATGGGATCGTTTGGCACTCCTGGAGAGACTCTGACTATTACTCTCTACGAAAGGTCAGCATGATGATCCGCCCACGCAGCTTCAGATCCCGTTTGTCACCCTGAACCACTGTCACCTTGACAACGGTTGGGACGCAGGAACAATACTCTGGCATTGGAGATGACATGGCGTCACACTGATGGTGACATCCACTGATGTTTTTATTGACAGAGCTCTACAAGAGGGAAGTGAATCTCAACAAGTCTTTGTAGTGAGTGAACCTTCTGACTAACCTGTGGAAATGGCGTCTCCTCTCCTATTTTTGAACTGATTGTATGTGCAAATATGGCTGGTGTGCTTGATATTCCTCACAAAATATGGACTCATTTTCTGCTGCATATTTTTGGACTCACACACTTTAAACTGTAGAGTTCTTTTTGGGACATGGACATTTTTCACTCAGTCATGGGAAGTGAGTTCTTCCTTATTTTCTACTTCTATTTTCTACCTTTAGTTTGATACTTGACACACTATTAGTAACTCCGCCAAAATAAAAAGGCAGATTTTGTACAACTTGTTGACAGCATGAAGAGGCTTGCAGTATCAAACGCTGAGAGGAGGCCTGTACAACTGGCTGGCAGAGCATGAGACCGTTTACTGGATGTTTTGCATACGCCGTGTGCATGTACTTTTTATGATGTCTATATTTTGCCATTTTCCATTCACTTTGAAATCCAGCCAACTATGAATTTAATCAAATGTGTAAATCTCTATTGTAATAAGTGTATTAACACTATTAATCAGTCATGACATAAGAACACTGAATTGTATTAGACAAAAAGACCCCAACCCTTTGACTTGATAAGTGCTATCGTCTCACTATATAGACTCAGACAGAGAGGATGGAGGACTGTGTATACATACATATGTGCTGTGCAATAAAGACTACATGTTTCATGTACTATGTCACACAGGACACCATTTCATATAGAGAGAATGGTTCAAGATCTAAAACCATTTGTGATTTAAGCTACAGACCAGACTAGCAGCCTGAAATAATAGATAACTCTTATCATTAACTATACACACACTACTGTTTGACTATGGCAACCAGTAGTGTTAGTTACTTACATTCAAATTACTTCACACAGGAGTTTCCACAGACCTTTAGCATATTAGGAGGTGTGTGTCAGTATATCAGGCAAGTGTTGCGCAGAGGTAAAGTCTGTAGGCCGACAGAAAAAGAGGCAGCAGGATGTATTCAGTTCACTGTAAACACTTTTAAAGAATATATTCTATATGTATAAAAAATTTGAATTACAAGTTTTATAAGAATTTATAGATAGAGTATGAAAGTATGAAAAATAAAAAGTGAATTCATTTTAAACAGTGGAATAAGTGCACCTAGCTCTACTAAAGCCCCAAACACACTAGCGCACATACACTTAAAATAAGTGACAAATATTAGAATGCATGTACTGTCTGGTGTATACCATCTCCTCGCCTGGTGACTTAATGTGGCATACACATCCAGCTGCACCTGACGACAGTGCGAGCTGAAAGTGGGGTAAAAGGGCTCTTTCACTTCCTCCAACACAAGACTGCACAAACACACTCTTTGACCCCTAGCACAGGCTGCCGACTCATTCTCATTCCTATCCATCTCTATGCAAGAATCTGCTGGTGCGAATAAGAGCTTTACTGTGAGAAAACCAGAGAATGCGTAGTGTGTTGAACACTCTGAACCGTACAGAGAAGAACAACACAAGGTTTCTTTCAAGCAAACACACACACTCATTCACACACACGCAAACAAACAAAAGTCCCAATGAATACAAATCATTGTTTAATAAATCAAACAGAAGTTTTGCTCCTCTCTGAGTTGCACTGTATAGAAAATACTTCTATACATAAAATAGTATCTCAATGACAAGAAGCACCTGATATATATATATATATATATATATATATTTATATATATATGTATATTTTTCATGTATCATGTGATAAGAAAACAAAGAGTGAACAAGATTAGCGACTGATTGAAAACATGGGTGGTGAAAAGCAAAGAAGAAAGACTGCATACATGACAGAATCCATGGCTCTGTCCCAAACTCTTATAGAACAGATTCTTACAGCAACATTGCTGTTACACCTTCATATAAAACACCATAGTCTGGTCAAAAACAGGACTGACCTGCAAGAAAAGAATCATGTGACTTTTGGCTTAAAGGTACAATGCTTAAAATAACCAACCCCAACCTGAGTATCATTTATCCCACATTTTCTCTTCTGTCCTGAAATGTAAACCACAGTGTCATGTCACACAGGCTGGGGGGCAATTAACTCAAGCTTTTTCTGTCTTCCTCAGAGGGGCAAGGCACGTGGGCAAGACAGGAAGGAGGTGGAGCTTCCTGTTAAGCTTTTGAGGAAGTGCAGGATGAAAGAGGGCTTGGCACTGCCAGCGGTGGACATACAGAGGACACACATTCCGCCTTTGCCAACTCTTCCAAGACTGTTGGAATCTTAAAGGAATGCTCCACTGCTTCTTACTAACGACGTTGGGCGACTCTTGAAATGAAATGAAAAAAATAATTTGAATAAACTCTGCATTGACTGGTAAACAGGCAGTAAAGCTCTGATATGCTGTCAAAGCTACTTTTAGTAATCAGCTCCCCGGCTGTCCCTACTGACAGGGTGGAGAATGGCTTTGGTTTTTATTGTCAGTACATCACTACATCACTGTGCTGAAAACAGTTTTGCTACATGTGTAATTCATTTCTTTAACCTTTAAAAAAAAAAAAAAAAACATGGAACAGTTTGAAAAACTGCAGAGTATTGCATGTTTCCACCAATAGCTTTGGCGTCTGACTCATGCAATGAAGCAATGCATGGTCACAAACTGTGACTTGGATGTTTACTTCCTGTGTCACAAGCTCTGGACCTTGGACAGAGGAAAAGATGTGTCTACATAGTGTTTCTCATTCTTCTCCCATTGTTGACCCTAAAAAAAAACACTTGTGCCAAAGCCTTTTCAGCTGCTGCACATGCTCATAAACTGTTGAGAAAACGTCTGAGCACAGCAGACAAAAGTAACACCATGAGCCGGGACTGCTGGCACGAGCAGTAAAGGAAGAGATGAGGTAAGAGCGAAACAAAGAGAGAAGTGAAATTTAAATTACATGGAGGGAAAAGAATGCAGTATAAGCAAGAATATTTTGGATGTTGAGCTGGTTTAACTCTTCTTGTCTTGTAGTGCGAGACTGAAGGCTTTCACATTGTAGTGAACTGACTGTGTGCTTGTCTCAGCTTTGCAGCAATCTGGGGATTGAGAAGAAGAAAAACCAGTATGAATGCAAACTCATAGGGTGATCGTGATGGTGTAGTATCCAAGCACTTTACAGCTGCTCCACAGGTAACAAGGGAACAAAAAGGACAAACTGTTACAGAGTCCAATTTACTTTGACAGATGGTTGATAAAAATGCCTTTACCGTCTCGTAAAACTTGACTTGCTCCTCCAGATACAACTGCATGACCCTGTTGTAGTCATAGATACGGTTGCTATGGAAGTGGTTCATCTCAGCTGAGGCAGAAAAGAGGGGAAACCGCTAAGATCAGGCAACAACGTCAAGATAAACTACACTAATTCACTGCCTCTGGCTGAGAGAGTGTGGTACCTTGTAAAGCGTAAGACATGGTGCTGACTCGTTTAGCCATGGTGACTTTGTCCTGAGGGCTTATTTTACTGGTGGCTACCAGCTTGTCGGCCTCCTTCACCTTGTCTATGGCTGCCTGCAAGAATTAAAAATAATCAAATAACAACATGAGTCTTGAGTTACATTGCATAAGAACAGGAAATCATTTCACTCATCTGCATACAGATAAGGTGAAGGAATTTAAAAAAGCAAAATGACAGATTGATATCTCATAACAAAGTTTGTACATGTTCACCTCTGAACCAGGCAAGTTAGCAATAGGTAAGTCTCCATTTAGTGAAAACTTGACTAAGTTTGAATATATATATGTATATATACACATATATTTTTTACTTTTTAAGTATATATAAATCCAATTAAATTTGCTTTCTGAAAAACCTTTGTGTAAGTATTTCCTGATGTACCTTATGGACTCCAATAGTGTCTGGGAAACATCCAAGAAGACCCTTGTATTCATTGTTGGTCTCCATGAGGAAGTGGAGGTCTTTCCTGGGCTGGAGAATGACACACAGGAAACAACACAAACAAGAAAGATAAATGTAAAAGGAAAAAGTGTTTTTGACAAAAATGACAGAGATAAATGCAGCAGAGGAAATAATAAACGGATTTGAAACTGATACAATGTACAATTTTTCCTGTATTCTTCATCATATAAGGGAATGCTCTCTGCAACCTCCGTAGATAATTCAACAAATAAACTTCACTGTTTTAGCCTTTTGGCTCCTGAGATGAATCTATGTCCAGACAATTGCTTCCTCAATATTCTGTAAACTGCATCACAGGCAATGTTACACTAAAGCCAACAACTCTACAGGAGCACTGACAACATGTCAGCACAAGCTTACCAGATGAATCCCCCTCCCTCTGGAAGCTGTTGGGACATTAAAAAAAAAAAAACAAAACAAAAAAAAACAAAAAAAAAGAGCCCGGGTATGATTTTATAACACACCACACTGACCGGACAACACAGAATGCGTGTTATTTGAATGAGGTGTGCCACATTCAAATAGTGGGTCAAAACAAAGATTTAGGAAATACTAGAGATAAATTGCTCATTACTTCTTCCTTTACAGATGCAGACTTCACGAGCAGGACGCTGGGTTAAAGGGGTCATATAAACACCACAGCTAGGATGTAAACACTGACTGCAAGCAGGAAATGTTCACAGACATTGTGAGATGTTGTGAATTGAGAGAGTGAACACACGACAATGTAGTTGATAAAAAAGGCCTAAAATAAACCTCAAGACCTTCGACACCAGAGCTCTGACAGTCCTGCTCCACTGCCTTGTTTCAGAGGGGAAACACACACCGTATATCCAACACCCATGACAGGGACTGTGTTGAATTTTAAGACATGAACAATATAACAGAGGCTGTTTGGGTGAGAATAACACAAGAACATGAAAGGAACATAAAAGTTCTCTAAAGAATGCCCACAGGAAGAATACTGAAGGCGGAAGCAGTTATGTAACTTTTTGGATAGCAGTAATATCACAGTGTGTTACGACCGTAGCAGCAACCTACCTGCTCTGCAACCATCTGAGCTATCTCCTCGTACGTCTTCCCTGCTGCTGTCATGGCATCAGTCAAGGTTGACTCGCCTGAGCGATCAAAACATGTAATCAGCGTGTTTCTTAAGAGTACCTGTTTGTCAATACGCCTCAAAACAGATTTCCACATAATGAATGACTGCATAGTAAATTGCATCTACTTCTGCTGTTGTCATTATGATTATAACATGTGTTGATTACAGCAATCTTTTGAATGGGTTACCAAAGACAGCAAAGTGACGAGACACAACTAGCAAGTGCCTGCTTGTGGGAAAATGTCTAAGGCTTTCAAAATAACATTGGATGTCATATTTGTATTCATTACCTTGGTATCCACTGCTGGTGAAGACAGAGGAGAGGTTCTGGAAGGCTTTGCCAATCCTTTGGTACTCTTTTGGCAAAGCTGTGGAGTGAAAGAAAACATGAACAAAGACACACACACACACACACACACACATACACTGTGTGAATAAAGTTTTTTCCAAGTTGACTAAATACTAAACATAATGACTCTTTCTTTAATATAAACAGTAATTACAGCATGAGGTGGAGGTGTGGCCTGTGTAGGGTAAAACAAATATTTAGCTTCGGTGCGGTGTATACGTACGGCCTGTACATCTCTTCCAGTGCTCGTTTCCCACTGTGAGGATTTCCTTCACCCCGTCATCCATGGCTTTGGTAAACCTGCTGAACTGCTCACATTTCTGATCCCTGAGGACAATGAACACATGTACTGAACATACATTTACTGTAGCATGCATCAACACATACAGTGATGCTAATACACACGAGTAACCTCATTGCTTTTTGAGCCACGGATTGCTTTTTGCAAAGTTTGACTGAACTCACACTTCTACAGGATCTAGATCTGGAGCTTCAGGCTCTATTGTGGAGAAGATCATCACTCCCACTGTCTCGTCCTTCTCTGCTTTTCTCTTTCCCATCTTCCAGTCCTGCACAAAATCAATCACTCATTTTAATTACAAAATAAAGGAATAAAGCAATCAAGTCCCAAACCAAACTTTCAGCGATGGCAGATCATCAAGTCCATGATATATGCAGCCGTTGAAAGTGAAATAAAATCTTTAATAAAATGGTTGTTTTCAATAATAAAAGCAGGCACTTTCAGTCGTACAGTGTTTAAGGACACATCATTTGAGACCTAGAGGGACAAGGAGGGGGAGGTATAACATACCTTCTCATCCTTGTAGGTGAGGAAAAGCTGGAAAACTTCACTGCTGGAAACAACCGGGTGCCTGCACATCCTGGTCATCCAGCCCTGCAACCGCTCCATACGCATCTTAATAAACTCTTCCTCAAAGCGCCCTGGAACAGACGCAAAGGTAAAAAGAGACAGACTTAATTTACATGTTGACTTCAGCCATGTTTGTTTTCTTTCTGTGTTACATTTGTTGTTCATAAGAGTCGAGCACTTACCTGTCACCTGCTTGTCTGGTAGAGACGGAATGGGGATTGCCGACCCAAATTTGTCCAGGAGCCTCTCATACAGCCAATCAAAGTGCTTGTATCTGTGATTGACTGGTCGGTTTGTGGTCTGCAGACCAATAACATGAAGTTATAGACACTTTAAATCATGTAAACAAGGGAAATTCTCTAGTTTAGCTCTGAAAACGCTGCTGGATACTTACACTGGGTGTTATTTGGTACTCAATGTAGCTCTTGAGGCCGTACATCTTTGAGCCTTTCTTGGGATCAGCCACGACACAGTCTAGCTGAGTCTCTGGGTAAGACCACACGGGACCAACTTCGCCCATCTGAGCAGGAAACACTGTGTTTAGAAACTGCTTTTTATGGCATAACAGATGGATCAAGCTGGCAAAAAGAGGAAACCCACGTCAACCCATGCTGTAATACTATTGCATGCACTGTAGGAAGCTCTTATTTACAATACCTCAATATTTCACGGTTTATTGAGTTAGGAAAGAGCAGACAAAATGACTTCATCACCACCACTAATATAACACATAAGGATATCTAATGCTATATAGCATACAACTTGCACAGATATTTAGAGGTTACCTACATAGATTGATAGCTTCTCTTTGCCCTTTGCAAGCTGCTTGCACAGGAGGTAAAGCTCTGGACCAGACTTGGAGAACCCCGGGAACCTGCGCAAAGAGAATTGACAAAGTTTGAAAAGGGAAGGTCTCTTGATCGCTCTCTTTAACTCTTCCACGGAGTCTGAGGAATGTATTGATGTTGCTCAAGGAAGCTTTCTGTGGCCAGATTTATGTCAACCGCAAACATCAAAGTACTACCACCATTAATGAAAGACGCATCTAGGATGTGGTTCTTAGTGTGTGTGGCTCTTAACAGGAAGAGAATATTAATGCTGATTCAAGCAGAAATAAGAAGGGAAAGTTGGCAGAAGCAGGAAGAAGTCAACATTGTAGTAATGTACAAGAAATTCTTAAACTCTCGAAGGCAGAGCACGTTCAGCTCGACACCAAAGCTCAGCTTAATCTAATGACAAAGCATTTATAAAATGAATCACAATATTTCTGCAGTTTTTCTTCCATCCTCGCGTGTTTTTATCAACTCTTACTTGTTGAGGGAGATTTTCATCGAGGTTGCGTGAGCTCCACCTCTCTGTATTCCTCCGCCATCTCCAGATTCTGACTCGGCATAACCTCCAGTGGATTTAACGTCATCCCACTCATCATCCCACTCATCGTCTTCTGCTCCTGAGGTCAGATACATGCACACTCAGTAGTTAAGTTTTACAATCCCGGACACAAGAAAAACACATTCTGTGCAGTTGTACAACGTGTTCATGTCTATTGTACTATGGCTAAGGATATTTCACATTACAAGAAGCAGACTGTAAGAGTTGAGTGAAAATATATTAATTAAACGCTAGCAGGGATGGACATTTGATCAGTTCTGTTTATTAAACTAATTCCTAATTACATATCTAATGGTTATTGTGCTGGATAGAAAGAACTCCAGGTTGCAGTATGAATCTAATATCAACTTAAGTAGATGAAATGGAAGAATATTGTAATGTAATGCAGCTTTTCTTAATGTTATCTAATAAGTAGAGAAATACTCTGCTAAGCCTTACTCTGTAGTCCTCATCACGTAGTTTCTCATCATGACGTCGTATTGAAACAAATTAGTTACAAATGTTGAAATTTGACCTTGTTTTGATGTTTGGTTAAATGTGTTCAAGGGTTCAGTGATTTCTTTTTCTGCCATAGCTTCTTTTGAAAATGGAAAGCATGCATCCTGGTGTTCAGTCTTATGCTTGCAAAGTGCAGGTATGGCTGAGAGAAATCAGTGACCACAAGTTTAAAAATGGTTCTTACTTGCAACCACTTTTGAATTTCTATTCTTAGATGCTACTAAGAAAAGACATGATTTGTATAGCATCATTTTCTCAAGAGCTTTGCACTTTCAAAATGAGTTTCGAAAGCACATGATAACAGTACATAGACTATAAAGCTAAAGGACTGAGGTGCGAGGAACGTGGTTCAGACTCTATGGTGAAAGGCAGATTTTTAAATCTGAATGTGGTCCTAAGCAATCAAAACATTTCCACACATACACCACTATCAAGTTAGGAAGTAATTGAGGAAGTAATTGTATTGCATGTATTTCTGCATTGCATCTGCCCTACGAAAGCCACAATGCAATCAGAGCTTCTGAAATTTGTTTCACAATATACAATATAAGTATGCCATACAAACATATAAGTTTGTAGAAAAAAAAGTATGTTAAGTTGGAATAACTTAAAAACAAAACACTTTTGTTTACAATTTACAATTCACCTGTCAAACAGTCGGGCTAACAAGACTTCATTCTGTCTCTAGTTACTGCTCTCTGTCTTTTGTAGGGCAGCCATGCTGTGACACAAACTCATACTCATTTTGAAACTCATAGTTAGACACCTCCAACTACAGCTAAAGTCTGAGAGATGTCAGTGTTTTCACAGTGTGATTCTGACTGTATGAGATGAACAAAGTCATCCAGTCACCACTGGCACTTTCCCACATCACAATAATGTTAATATAGTGTTAATATCAAGATACAGTGTTAATGTCAAGATACAAATTGGATGCCTCACACACATGCTCTTACAATTGTAAATCATCTCCTAAAATTATTTGCTAGAGGCCATCAGTCTTTATGAGCACCTATTTTCACTCCACACACAAAAATGAGGAAAAAGCTTCCACCAGGCAGTGCACGGGATACCTGTGTAATCGATAAGGTAAGGATATGGGTAGATGTCTTTGGCAAGAGAGAAAGAAAGGAAAAGTCTGTTAATACCTCTCCTCGCCATTTATCCCTTCTGTTCTCTTTTTACAAAAACAACTGGAGAATTTTAAAAAATCAGGTCAAGTAATTTACCCTTGTGAGTCATGAGTGAGGCTAACTTTTCCACTGACGGTCCTGTCCACATACTGGAGCATCTCTGTGGAGGGACTGACCAGAGACTGAGCAGACGCTGGCTGAAGTAGTATTTGCAAATAATAACTGTTGGATACTTTGAGTTGCAGATCAGTGTGTTTACTGTATATCCTCAATGTATTTTCATTAGTATCAGGTCTTTATGCTCAGTATTCCTGGGTATAAGGAATATTCTTTCTCATTTTGTTGTATGATGCAAACCCCATCTCCTCTCCAAAGAAGCTGATTCTAAGTATTATTTGCCAGGACTACTTGACCTATATTTCACTCTTTAAAACGTGGGTTGTATAATCTTTTTGTTGAACATAAAATGTTTGTTCAACATTAAAATAAAGGGGGAAAAAGCAAAACATTATACATTAAGCACACCATTAGACATTTTAAAGTCATCTTCTGTCTTATGACAACGACTCATCATAGTTACTGCGAATCTTTTTCTCTTCTCAAACATTCTTTCATTTTTCATCCAAACAGACCTTCAACCAAAAGACCAAGAGAGAACTTGTGGTCAAACATTTATACATGATGATGAAAGCTGATTCTGTTGTCTAACGAGGCCTTTATAAACATGCAACACTATTCACAAGCTGCATAATCGAACTATGCTGCAGTGTAGTGTCACACGAGCTTTCTTAATCTGATTATTTGGTGAATTAAGCTCACACCTGCAGAGGGCTGAGCTGTAAGTCTTGGCTTTCCAGAACAATTTAGTCCACTGCAGCCACATATATCCTTCCCTGTCTGCACATTTACATTTTCATAAGCCAACCATCTGCAAATCGTAATATAAACTGTTTAGCTAAGTAATGACTCCAGTAGCTAAAAACAGTGCGTGACCTTCCCATGGCTCCAAACACATTAACACATCATGATATACAGCCGATCTAACCTCTTTTTTTAGGGCTATATTTTTAAGATTATCATGTTTGCTACTTCAGAAATCTAAGATCTGAATAAACTTGAATTGTCCTGTCAAATCTGAGAGCAAACAAATATAACCACTTGAAGAGGAAGTTTAAAAATTATTTATGTAACATAGTCTTTATTTCCTGATTTCAGTTAAGTAGTTTTGAAAAACAATTCTCAGTAGTGAAAGTACAATCACAGGTATGAAATTTATAATTTATAAATGACGCAAGATCATAGGACAGTGGTTATATTGTACTGGCACATGTTTCCAACATCAAGCCAACCGTGGCTGCTAGGTTAACAGCTGTCCTTACCTGGGCCCTGGTAAGCTTGAGGGTGGCCCTGTGATACGGAGCCCCAGGGGTCAGCAGCACTCTTCCCAGTTTGGGTGCCCTCCGGATTTGACGCCCAGTTGTTGTTGGATCCACCCGACGGGTCCGCGTTCCACACCGACCAGGGATCATTACCGTTACTAGCCTGGACAAGACAGAGAGAGTGAAAACATGAGGGATGAAAGAAGCAGAGAAATGACAGATCGAGGATGGAGAGAGAGAGAGAGAGAGAGAGAGAGAGAGAGAGAGAGAGAGAGAGAGAGAGAGAGAGGGGAAAGACGGAGACCACCGAGTGGAGTCCGGCCGAGTTTGGAGTCTGTTTAATAAGAAGCTGACAGAAGTCTTAAAACAACATGCTCCTTCAAACAACACATCAGGCAGAGCTGGCCTCTCACAGGGCGTCTGTTAAGATTAACAATCAACTTCACGGTAACGGAGTGGTTTGAGGTATAAAATAAATGCTTCTTACCACATGCAGTAACTGGAAGTACCAAACTAAAAGCAAACAATAACATTCTCAAGCCTCATACACAATTTTTTTTTTTTTCAAGTGCTGGCCATGCTTGCAAGGCAGGTACATACACCACTATAAAAACCTGTGGGCATGGGCATGCAAATAAGTGTGTATATGCCTTTTGTGGGCTGCAGTTAGCTTGACGCTAACCAAACACTGAGCTACCTGAACACAGAACTAGTGCAGACCAGCGTCACCAAATACACCATGTAATGCACATTCACATATTGAGAAAAAAAGAAAACAATAGTTTCAGAGCAAATTGCTGCAATGACTATGACAGAAAAAACAGTATGGAACATTATATTCAAAGCTCAGTCAAGATGACATTTTAAAAATACTGATGATTATTTATATTATATTTGTGAGATTCTGATCATCATCTGGGGAAAGTGCACTTGTTGAGGTTGAATGATTCGCCAGTGTGAACAGTCAATCACATGTGAGATATAAGGATCATTGACTCTGATCTTTAAACCTTTTCACTGTTGTGCTGATTCATACAATATAGAAGAAAGCTGTGGGAGTTGATTGGTGACTTGATAGTGCCTATGTGTCTGTACTGTGGTGTGAGATGAATGGAGAAGATGAAATCATGCTTTCTTCAGGCATGAGGAGTAGGAGGGGGAATTTGCCAAAGCAGACCAATCAGAGAGGAGGAGGGTCTTGAGGCAGACACCGAGTGAGTGTGGGAGGGCTCGGGTTCATGCCTCTGGCCACACCCACCGACCCCCAAGTGGCAGTTACCTCATCAGGGGACGAAAGGTAGGGGGAAACTGGGGTGTCGGGGGTGTCCGGCTGGGGACTCAAGCCCCCAGCATCCACCTTGAGGGGAAAAGAAGGTGACAACATCACAAGGCGCCAGCAGTGAAGGTTTATGGGATGGGTTAAAGTGATGTTGGTTGTAGACGTGTTTGTATATGTGTGTGGGAGAGAGAGAGAGAGAGAATGAAGGATGATGGCTGACACATTTCCTGCTTTGACTCAACCACTTAGTGTGTAAATTTCTACTGATCCAGCAGTACGCTCATTTTTGTGGAACTTCCTGTCTGCTAACAAGAAAAACACCTCACTCTCTATTCTATTTTACAGGAGCTAAAAAAAAAAAAAATGCGTCAGCTCTAAGTGACTATCTCCCAACGCAGCTGCTCTCACTTCTGCATCTCTGGGGTTCACACAATCGGCACGAACGTCAGTAAAACGGTCATCGCTGACTTCTGCTTTTTGCTTTATCTCCAACATCAGCCCATCACACATTGTGTTGTGCAGGTGTGCTGTTTGAAGAATTACTGTATATATATATATATAACTTACTTCCCCTACACTGGTCTAGTCAAGTCAAGGGTGTATGTTCATTTTATACTCTTACTACAGGAGAGCAAAGATCCAAAAAAGGGGCATTTGATATGATAACAGTATGAGGTTAATGAACCCAGGCCATCATCAGACGAGTGCATTACCTGGTTTTGTGCAGGTGCTGATGAAGGAGCGTAGGCATCAAAGAAGGCAAGGTCTGAAGATGCAACATTTCCTACATTTGGAGTAGGTGCTGCACTGCCTGCTGCTGGGAATGATGGAAATGCCTTACTGAACTACAAATGAAAGAATAAAAGACAAAAACAGTTCCATTAGAAAAAATAAATCCAGATATTCCACAGTGATCTGATTACTTTTAAAGGTACATTCTTCTGTGGTAATGTGATCGTGTCTCCTTGGCACTCTCTGGTTTTGAAAACTGACTTTTTAACTTTCTCACTTTATCAAAAATGTGATAGTGCTGGGAGGTGACACTTCAATTCACACATTTGAAATTTGCTTTATCACTTGCCAATTTAAAAATGCCACTCCTAATCCTCCTGGCTATTTTTGTCATACGGCATCCTTTTGTTTTTGCAGATCTAAATTTTACCAGTAGAGTGCAGTGAAATAGAAAGTAAGTTACTTGAGAAAGAGACTGTGTCCTGATGTTTTCCATTAGATCTTACATAAGTTACAAGTGCATTTGTCATCAGTGGGATTTTATGATCAAAACAGTCCGGGGACAGCTGGAGAGGTAACTTAAGGTCAGACAAACACACACATCCACATGAGCTTGTTTGCAGAGTTAAGCAGATGGATAATATCAGTCCCCTGCTTGTACACACAGACACTACATTGTTAAATGTTGCTTTAAGTGGTGTTTAGAGCGAGGCAAAACTGTTGAACAGACTTCAAGGACTTTACTTTCAATCAAGCTGTTTCTCTGTCTCTTTGCGAATGTCTTCAGCGTGAATCACATCCTCAGTCAGAGCTTCTGGATCAAACCGGACACACACATACACACACCCTAATCAGCAAAATCCTGAAGGGGGCACATCCTGTTGTGATTTGACTTTCAGGCAAGAGACTGCATCACAATATGCAGAGACATATCTTTATCTGTGATAACAAATATCATACTGATAGATGCACTGAGGGTGCATCTTGACCTCAGAGAGTGATAGGGGATGGCTTTGTCGCTTAATTTTTCTGGAGGTAAATTCACTTCAAATGCTGTGTGGGATATGAGATGTCTGTGGTGAAATCACTAGCAAACATTAAGAGACTGTCTAACTTACCTCAATGTAGTCTTCTGGCACCAGTCCAACATCCCCTCTGGAGTTCTGTGCTTCAATCCAGCCACCTCCAATATTCTGAAACAGAGTGAGACCCGAGACAACATGTTAGCATGAATGACTTGAGATTGACTCAGAGAGCAGAGAACAGATGTCAGCATCTCATGCACACAAAAGACCAGGTTCATGAGAAACTTAACATTAAAAATGAATGTGTGAGAATGTGTTTACTTGCATTGTTATAACCTGAACACTCCAAACCCACATTTACATGCAGCTGGACAGGATCAGATTACTCCTGCTTTTTCTCTACAGTATTTTTTATGAGCCTAGAAATTTTAAAGGCATTTGGACTGACAGGAAAAACACAAGGTTTTGCAATGAGAGAGCAAATCCTGTTTTGCTGCTGTGGTCTATTAGTTATACATGGAAACCAACTGAAATAGATTTATACATATTTCAGTTTGAGTTCAAGTCATACTTTGGATTTTTTATTCATTTGGATGCAAGGTCACATTGCTGCGGGTAGAGCTGTTCCCTTTGATCGTATTGCTCTGCTGCCACTGCAGTACTTACTAATATTGCATGAAGTAATTGATATAGACATGCACTTTTGCAGAAACCCTGGAGAAACAGGTTTCTCCAGAAAAATTTAGCTGTTATGGTCGATGTGTTTCTCTTAATTCATTATTGCAATTAAGGAAACAAGGTTTGCTATTTACACATTGTTTAGGAATTCAGGTTGGAGCAAAAATGTGACAATAACCAGGTTACCAAAGCATCAGTAAACACACTGAACGCTCCCAGGACAAATTCCTACAGTCAGTTTATTTAGTGGAGAAAAAAAAATCTGTTTTCCTGATACAGTAAGTCCTGATTGGCTTAAGGCAGACTTTGATTAGAAAACTATGTAGGTCAGCACACAGCAACTGACCTTTGAACTGTTAGATTTAATGACATCATGCTCTTTTCCCCCTGTTTTCTCCTTCCTTCCTGTGTAGTCCTATGTGTTTATGACACTCTGTGTTTATAGACAGCCTGAGGTCATGTGAGTTGGACCTTTACAGGATTGGTCATTTTCAATAACAAAGTTATGAGGAAGAGCTTCACGAGCATTTAACTAACAGCTACAATACACAAAACTATTAGATTTAATTCAAAGATTTGAGGCAGAAATACTGAAAAAGAAATTAACTTCAAAGTATAAGCTGAAAACCTTAAAGTTAAATGTTAAATGTACTTATACTTCCACAGTGTAAGAGGTGACAAATTAATTCTTAATTATCGGATAATGGAGACAATATTCACTTCAATACATTTTTTCAGGTACCAACAGGCACATCAACATAATGTAAACATTTGAAATTTAAAAACCAAAACAGACAACTAATGCAAACAATGAAGCCCTACTGCGATCGGGCACTCAGCATCTCTTGCTGGTGTGGATTTACCTTATTGGTGATAGTGATTGTCTCGCCTTCTTTCACCGTCAGTTCGTTGTTTCCAGGCTCAGCAGAGAAGTCATATAAAACCTGTGCCTGAACACAAACAAGAAAAAAAACACACACGCTGTATGTTTGATGTCCACTTTTTTGAGGCCAGCATATGAACGTATACTTGATTGTAAATGTGAATGTTCAGACCAACACACCCAGCGACACCCTCAGCAGTCAAAAACATGTGAAATGACATAAGGGCACAATGAAGCAGACCAAACTCGTTCTTCTGGGTTTGTTATGCTGACTCTTAACTAGTCACCACTATCAAGCGAAAACAAGGCCAGTACCATCATGTTACCTGGTTCAGTTTAACACAGTCGCCTGTGGTTCCTCTCACACTGATCCACATCTACTAATCTTCCTTTCCATGAGGGCCCCAGAGACACATGTGTGCATCCGCACGTATGCACGCGCACACACACGTACACAAAGAGATATAGATAATCATCCGTGAGAAGTCATAAGAGTAAAAACTATTCTAAATATGTCTCCGCTTTTGACACTTCATGACTTATCTTTAAGCCTACCCACTAATTTATTTTCATAAATTTGACTGTGCATTCATTTGGCTTGCCAGTTGTTATCCAAGCTACAGAGTCAGCATGTCATCTGTTATCGAAACAGAATTAAATTCAGTGTGACTATCTAACTTTGTTCATTAACCAATGAGATGGAATGCAAGGTTATTTGGTCTTCTTTGAACAAAGTCCTATTATTCCAGTGTCAGCTTGCCACCTGGCAGGGGCCAAAGAAGGTGAATGATGTTTTAAACAGGAACTACATGAGAGAAAGAGACACAGCCTCAGCTGTGCTAGCTCAGTTATCATTTTTAAGTAGTGAAAGAACTGCACCGGGGTAAACTGACCCGTGCATCTACTATTTTGTTCACTCTATTACTATCAGTGAGGGCAGGCTAAATAACAGAAACACCTCTCTCATCACAAACCCCATCCTCTAAAATGACCATGAAGTTGAATCAAAACTTCTATAAAACAATTTCACCACAAACTGAACATTATAACCTTCATGAAAGAAGCCTTTATTGTGGGACTGCTGTATTAGACTGTATTAATTTTAACTACGTGCACCTAATCAACTGAAAACAGAGTGTATACTGTGATGAATGAACAAAGCGATACACAAGCCAAAGACTACGTTTCCCAGAATTCCAGAGGTAGAAATGACCCGCACTGGAAAGGTAGTAAAATGTCACAAGACACTTTCTTAATGAGACACATTTTCCATGTATGGCAAAAACATTCGTTTCACATTTACTGTATACACACACGTGTTGTAAGCGTCCATTACACGCAACTAAACCAGAGAAGTGAAATGTTTTTGACTCTATGTGTAGCTTATACCGAGCGAAGTGTTCACTGTAAACCTACTGCGAGAAACTGCAACTCTGTCCGCGTCTCTACAAGTCTCCACAGCCGGCAGTTTTCGTAAAAAAAAACAACTATCAGTAGAAACTGAAGGAGATAGGACACATGGGTTGACGTTAAAACAGGTTTGAAAAGTTGTCAGACCTACCTTTAGCGCCATTGTCGAAGCATTGATCAATCATTACAAAAACAGGCCTTGCGGTTTTCAGGATTTCCAATCCTCAGCTGGACATTTCCCCCCGCTGCTTTTCAGCTAAAAGCGAAGAAAACACGGTGATTCCTCCGGGTGGAGAGCCCCCGTACCGCAGACTTTAACACACTACTAAAAACTGTTTTCCTTTAAAATCTCAAAAGCCTGAAGAAAAAACGGTAAGTGCAAGACTGGTGAAGTGCGACTGTAAGTTTGAACCGCGTAGAGAGCTGCTGACAGTACGGAGGGAGTGACCTGCACCACGGAGAGAAACCGGAAAGGTAGTCTCCGTCTGATATGTGACCCTCTAAGACCTGACTAGTTCGCAAAAAGAGCACGAAGCAAGAAATTAGAAACCGGCGCACTTAAAGAAAAATGTGAGGAAACTATGAAACGCATATAACAACATAGGCCTACGTACAAAATAGTAATAATTAATTAAATTAATTACATTGAATACCAAAACAATAACTTAATATATTATATTATATATTAAAATAATAATACTAAAAATGACGATGATTATGGTGATAATCATAATAACAATAATCATAATTATTATGATTATTATTGTTGTTATCATTGTTATTATTATTATTATTATTATTATTATTATTATTATTATATCTTGATTCCTAAACAACTTAAACAAATTCCATTTTGTAGCTATAGAAACAGTTGATAGTAGCCATCAAACTGTAAATATTCCTAGTAAAATTTTAGAAGCAATCCGAATGTTTCCTTTATACAATATTTGCATATTCGTCATCCAGTTCGTTAATTTGCTGCTGATTATCTGGCTAATTTCCATAATATCAGATGGTTAAATGGATAATTCAGAGGTTTCCGAAAACATCACTGCTGTGCTCTTGTTTTTTTACCCTGAGCCTAAACAATGGTCATAAAGTTCCCTCTGTATTATTCTGATCTCAAGGCGACTGCCGTGTGTTTACTGTTGCTGACAGCTCACAGCTGGCACAGTGGCTCAAAGGGAGTGACCCTGAGCTCATTTCTAATGCTTAAGTCGGCCTCTGCTGGGATCAGGGCGTTACTACATTTTAAGCCAACTTGAATACCATCTTGAATACCAGTGTGGTCAGAATAGGATACATACATACACTCAGTTTAGTTTCAATTAGGTACATACATATAGAATTAATGCAGTCTAATACAACAGTCTATTATTTGGTCCACACCATTAACATCAGTGAGGGTAGGCTAGGTGTTCCTAATAAAGTGGCAACAGAGTGTACACATCTCTACTGCCGACATCTTCAATTAACAAATCAAAGCACAAAGACAAAACAGCAATATCAGTAATGATACTTTTAACCCACACATTATCTCATATTATCCCTCTGTTGTGTACTACTACTACTACCAAGAAAATTGAGGTGTGCTGTCTTATGCTGAAAGATTGCTTGTGTAAAAACTATAAACATATTCAAATGTCTTAAAACATTAATCATTTTTATCTGAGATGTTGAATTGGAGTTAAAGTTTAAGGCACTTTAAAGTAGTTTAAGTGTCAGCTGAGGTTAAAACACTGAAATGATGTGAAGTGTCTTTCGAAGTGCAAAAGTTTAAGTGAGAGTGAAATGTTGACATCATATAACATTTTAATTTCAAATTTAAGCCCTTTAGGCAGTTGAATTGTCAGTGTGTATTTAAGTAGTGTAACAGATGAAAGCGTGTTCAGCTGTCATTTAAAAGAATAAATAAAGTGAAAGCAGCTGAAGTGTCAAATGAACTAACTGATGAAAGCAAATAAAATTTCAGCTGAAGTTGAAGCACCCTGGATATTTTAAGTTCCCTGTAAATAGTTGGTGTCAGCTGGTATGTAAGGAGTGATGGCAGGTGAAATGTCAGGATACAACATGGAGAATGATTACACCATTCACATTACTATAAGAATCAAGTGTTATACATTATGAGAAGGTGACAAAGAGGGGGGGGGGGTAAGGGGTTGAATTTCATTTTGGCCTGCGTCACTAACTCCCCCGTCACCTCCTCATACATCAAACGCCTGAGTCCAGCAGTGGTCTCATTTGTCTGTCAAGGGAAAAGAACTGGGGGAACAGGTTGATATTGATGAGGGAGGGGATTGAAAGGGGATCCAGTTTGCTGTAAGTATGTGAAGTCCACTGTGAAGTTTCACTGTTCAAAGTCATCAAAGCCAGTGAATTCACAGTTTTAACACTGACAATAAGCTTTGAGGAAATCTCTGAATTTTCACCTGTAGTGAAATTCACCACAAACATCAGAATGTAATTGAGTTCACAAAGTGCAGTACAGTATCCATTGTTCTACAAGGCCAAGTGACTGAGCACTTTTCGCCTGTATCACCTGAATTCATCTAGCAGTGCAGGTGTGTCGAAGGAGGGTGGGACGGAGTTTGCCAAGTCCACAGACAGTGAGCTCAGTTTGAAAATTTCCAACTTCACAGACACATCATGCGCTCTCTGCTCCCTTTCCTCTGCCTGTTCCTGGCCAGGACAAAAGGAGCAGTGGCATCGGACCCTTCTATGCCCTTCATGGTGTACCTGGACCAGGACCATCTGGTTTGCCTGAAGTGGGGCTTTGATAATCTGCAAGGAAACATTGTATTCAAACTGGTTGTCAACACCACGGGCTGGGTAAGCTTTGGCATGAGTCCCAACGGAGGAATGAAGGGGTCAGATATCGTCATAGGGGGACTTGGACCCAGTGGAAGCTACTTCTCAGTAAGCCATTACCATATACACGTTTATTTTTTTCATTTTCCACAGCAAACATAGCAAATATCAAGCTTTCTGATGTCTGAGAGTTTTTCTTTGTTGTCCTATAGGATCGCTACGCCACAGGGAACACCATGCCTTTAGTGGATGCACAGCAGAGCTACACTCTCCTGTCTCTGACTGAAAGTGAAGGTCAAACCCTTATGACCTTTCAGAGGTCCATTCAGGCCTGTGATGACAAAGACTTCCATATCACTGTAAGACATTTTGTTACTCTCTCCCTACCACAGTCTGCGATTAGATTAGATGCAAAGCTGATAAGAGTACTGCATAAGTACAACACCAACATCACTGTAAGAAAACATATTGGTGAAGAGCAGCAGGAGTTTCCACTGCTACAAAATCAATACTTTATTTGGTTTAAATGATAATTTGATTGTTGTTTCCGCCAATTACGTTTTATTTTTCAGTGAGTAATTGATTTTTGGTGAGAAATAGTGTTGACATTTTCACACAATATAACATCTGAAAAATGTCAGACTCCCTGAAACTTGAAAGCAAAATTATGAAACAAATAACATCGTTATCTGAGAGTGAGTGGAACATTGCCAAGAAGAGGCTGTTGTTTCTGTTGGTAACCAGAACGCCTCACTTAAACTGTGTTGTTATAGGCCGTGGAGTTTTAACCTGCATTCTTCACTGTTGTGTCTCATTGTTTGTAATGCCTGTAATGTCTTTTGTATTGTTGATCCAATTCTCTATGTAAAGCTCAAGTTTCCTGCTTGTGACCATGTAAAGTATGTTACTGGAGTTCTTTTGTTATGTTTACCTGAACGATCCTTTATATTGGCTTTGATTGGGTGGTTTCAGAAATGAATACAATGGTCACAATGAGGCCCATTACATTTTGTTTTCATTGAACACCTGAAATGCTATATGGTTTTGGTAATAAAACCCGGCTGTATGTGTTGACATGTAGCTGTGCACAGTAAACTGCAGAGTCAGAGCATTACATTGTCAGTCAATCGTCCAATCTTCAAAATAACTTGTTTTGTCACGTAGACAAATATTTGATTTGTCAGTTTTGGGGACAGAGGAACATGCTATATCCTTTTCCCCCCAATGAAACTCCTTTAATGTCTTCTCTGCTGTCTTCTAGTTGTTGACTAAAGTTGTCATCTCTTTAACAGGATGAACCCATTAAGCTGATCTATGCGTATGGAACAACAGATGAGATTAGCTACCATGGAGCTCGCAGAGGCACCAAGGAGGTCAACCTGCTGAATTTTAAGATCAGGACGTCCCTACCCAACCTCAACTATCTCAGTGCCACAGTGGAAAATGTGAGAATAACTGCAAACAGTTTTATTTATTTATTTTTTTACCTTCTAGCTCACTTTTTTAGACACTGGGTTACATTACAAATACATTCAATATACAGGTTGGATGAATGAATGGAAATGTTACAAAACGAAATGTATTTTATTTACCCTTATCTTTATTTTTTTGCAGATCACTGTCCCCCCCATTCATACCTATTACCACTGTAAGGTCATGAAATTTCCAAAGTTAAATACAAAACATCACATATATCAGGTAATCATACTCTCTTCATATTACAATTGCCACACTAACAAAAGCATATCCAAAAAACATTACATTAATACAATGTAGGTATTAATGTAATGTAACATAAGATAATTCTTGGCTGTGGGAGACATCATCTAATTCAAAATTAGTTCCTAAAGTGAAAAACTAAATATAAAATGAATTTAAAGTAGCATGACTTTCTTTATTCATTATCCTTTAAACCGTCTGTACAAAATCTCTCCTACTTTACCTCAGATTGAACCGGTGATTGAGCACCATGACATCGTTCATCACATGCTTCTGTACAGCTGTCCCTCCTTTGTGACGCAAACGTCCGACAATCCGTGCTACATCGGCAGCATGGAGGATGCCTGCTTCGGGGTGGTGGCCGCATGGGCAGTGGGAGGAGAGGTGAGGGAGAGGGAAGTGTCCATGCTCTTGTTTTAGTCTGATCTTTGAATTCCTTGATTCATCATGTTGTAATTTGATGTCAGTGATGTGCTTGTACAAATTAAGCCCCTATTTATCCCTGACACCTCAGGTATTTGAGTTTCCAGAAAATGCGGGTATTCCCATTGGTGGTGGGGACAGTGATACATACTACAGGCTGGAAGTCCATTATAATAACCCAAACCTTGCAACAGGTAAATACTACTGAATTTTGATAATAAAAAGTGCACATACAATAAATGTCTGATTTTGAAATGTACATCTGAATTGATCAATTAGTTGATGGACATAAATAATCAGCAGTAATTAGTCATTTGTCTGTCAAAAGTAGTGAAAGAACAACGATCATTTTCTGGTTCTGTTTTATCTCATTATTATAACCTGAATCGTTTTGGGTCTTGGACTGTTGACCGGAAAAAAGAACAGGACGTTTGAACATCTTAAGCACTGGGAGACTGGAATTGGACATTTTTAATTATTTCATAATATTGTATACAGTAAACAATCAAAATTTTAATTGGCAGCAGAATCAAAAATGAAAATAATAATTAGTTTTAGCCCTGATCGCGTTCCAAAAAGGTTAGGTCCTACACTTTCCATGATACAACCAATGGCAGCTCAGAATGTCTCTTAAAATGATTACATTTTTAAAGCCCAAGCCAAATGACCCTGTTGATGTCGTCTCTAAGTCTTAATATAGTTCGCTTATAGATCTGTTCTCACAGACAGAGCAGTGCTGCCCATGATAATTAAATTGACCTTTATGTGTAATATTGATAGCGCACAGTAAGCACTCATATATTCACATAGGATTACATACTGTATAAAAAAAGGCCTGGAACATTCTGTATGTCCTCTTTTCTTTGTTCTGTAGTCTCATCATCACATGACCAAGATACAAACCTTTTTAAACTTCTGTCTTTCTCTGTACAGGCAGGATAGATAACTCCGGACTAAGACTGTACTATACGTCCCAACTCCGGCAGCATGATGTGGGCATCATGACTACAGGTGTGGTGCCGTTTGATCATATACAGTACAACATCCCTCCAAAAGCCCCTCAATTCCACACCTACGGCTTGTGCAATACCTCTCTCTTTTCTCAGGTATGCAGAGATTCAGTATGGATTTCAAATTACAAAAGTGATTGTTAGAGACAAGTAAAAAAAAAATGTTTTCCTGTTTATGATGGTGTTCTTGATTGTCTTTACTTTCCACCTATAGCTGGTGAGTCCGGTTCCTGATCTTCACATGTTCGCTGTGATGCTGCACACTCACTTGGCTGGGAGGAAAGTCAGAGTTGCCCACTACAGGTAAGAAAGAGATGATCTGCTTTAGATCAGTCAATATCAAAGCTGTAGAATTAAAAAATAGTATTCATGATTTGAATAAAATCCAGTTTTGGACAGAGGTTTTGATGCCGATTATGAAATAGTGTAAAATAGTGTTACTCTTCTTTCCTACCTGGTCTCTGTAGAAATGGAAAACAGATTGACTTCTTGGGCTTGGATGATAACTACAACTTTAAGATACAGCAGATCATCAGTTCTGGAAACATCAAGACCATCAAGCAAGTAAGTCTCCTCTGCCTCCTTTCCCACATATTATGCCCATTAGTTGTTTAGGCTTTTGAAACTATATAATATTAACAGTGCTATATAGTTTATTATGCACATTACTTTTACCCATTACAGGGTGATGAGATTGCAGTGGAGTGCACCTATAACACTGTTGATCGCACCAGAGTCACTGAGGTGGGTAAATACTGTATGACCTGTATCGCTTAGTGGAATCTAATGAAAAAAGGGCTTAGAAAATTTGTTATTTTACTTCCTGTACAAATCATGCATTGTAATTTTAAGAAAGAGAAACATGGTAACTGGTCAAAACAGTGCCTGGCTCTCATATTCCCCTGTTGTCATACACTGTCATGTTTCAAATTTTGCTCCTTCAGATGGGGTTAGCAACCACCGATGAGATGTGCCTGGCCTTCCTGTTCTACTACCCTGCAATCAAGATCACATCATGTATTAGCCACCCAAATACAATGTTTCTATCAAATTCAAGCCCCCAGTAAGACCCGGTGCACTGCTTCACACAATATTTCCACTAGGACTGAATCTATAGCACCAGTTCTACTGTATAAACAGCTTACAGTATACATACATTATATGTATATTTTCAGGCAGATGTATCTTTATATGTTTTTTTTGTCAAAGTCACTCCTTTCTGATTTCTAACAGGATGTCTGGGGAGACCACAAACCAGGATGAAATTGCTGAGTATCAGAGTTTGGTAAATGCTCTACCACAAATTGAGCTGATCTCTGATGATGATGTAAGTAACGTAATGTTGTTTCTTCTCTACCTCTAATCTAACAAAGAAAAATAATATTTTGTTGAGGAATTTTACTAGATGTGTCATTAAGTACTAGATGTGTCATCGTTTCCACCAAGGCCCTCAAACAGTTATTTGAAATTTAAAAGTTTTTTTAAAAATCATTTATAGATGATTAAGTATTTCTGACAACTGGAACTTTCCCTTGCAGTTTTAGACATTCAACAATTTAACTTCAATATATAACCTGATTCCAATTTGAAATTACAGAGCTGTCTGTGAACAAACATTATTAGCATTTTTTTATTTGCTTTTTTAATCTTATTTGTTTTACAACAGAAATATAAGTTTGTTTTTTGTCCTCTCAGTGTTTGCTCTTGTTTCCATTTCTTCTGTTATGTTCCTTTGTGTTTGCTTCAAGCATTTTCTTGCAAAAACACATAGAAATATTTTTTAATGACACATACAGCAATTTTATTAGTCAGTCTTCTGCTAAAGATTTGTACATGTTTACTTTTGTGTCTCATGTTGAGAGTTTGTTTGCTATATGTGTATGTGGCATTTAAGTTGAATTAATTTCCAACAGAGCAGACTTTTTGGTGTTTTAATGCTTGTTTTCTGCAGTACCATAAAAAGAGCATTTTTAAAAAATGTTTAATCCTCTTTCTTCTTTTCCACAGCACAACTTCAGATCTTACGTAAATGGCACCATCAGGGAGATGATGAAGACTCCGACTGTAACGTGTCAGAATAATAACTCGTCAAGCAGACTCCACGCTCCCTGGATCTTGAGCCCAGCAGGAGTCATGCTTTTGCTGCTCTGGATTGTAATAATGTAACATGATTGTTTGATCAACAGATCCAATCTATTGCAGTCTAGATAAAGGAAGGTACAGTTGATAAATCTCTGTTGATTGATAAAAATGAATTGGGGTATATTCAACTTCACTCAACAAAGTGTATCCATTTTATATTTGTATTTTCAATCTTTTCATCACATATCTTTTCTCTTTGGTATTAACTGTTAATCATTTGGTTGTCATATTATTCAGCAACTGTCATATTGATTACCATACTGAGATTTACATTTCTATCTCACTTTATACTCTGTTTCATAAAAGCACTACATGGTTGGCCACATCTGCCTGGAGACATGTTATTTAACTACACACTCAATAGTAAGGTAGTACATTTATAACAGAAAACTTACATTACATCTAGTTAGAGTTTGGCTATAATGATAAGCCATGTATTACCCCTTTAATATTTCTGAATTAATTAGACTATTCTGGGCAGTGTTGCAAATCAATGAAAAAACTGCTGTATGGCAATAATCATTATTATATTATTTTTTATGAATATGAATATGACATGGTGTTTAATTTGCTGGATTACACTTGTTATTTTGTACTTTATCACTTGCTAAACAGGCCTTTTTCACAGGTGTTACTGATAACATTGATAATGGCTCTGTTATATTCAAGTGTCCCATAAGCCATTAGTGAGCCACCATATACTACAGCCCAACTCTGCTCTATCTTAAATATTTCTCATTTAGTTTATGCATACATGATTATGTATTACAATATATGGCACTAACACGGAGGCTATTTGTGTACATAATTGCGTTCATTACCTCCACTGCTGATTGTTAATTGTTGAATTATATAAAAAGTGCCAATCACTTCATTAAGTATACATATATATCAGAAATCATATATTAAAAACTGGTGTCATCAATGTCTAAAAAAGTGGATGGAAGTGACATTAAAGCATGCAGTTTCACTGTCTTTCCTCAGGGGGGAGCTCCAACTTATTTCCTTGCCTGTCAGTGTGCTGTCAGGGAATGAATGTGAACGGCTAGCCGACTAGTAGCTTTGGCAATGTTGTCACTATCAGAATGATATCGCAGCGGGACAGAGGAGAACTTGCTCGGTTTTATACTGTCACAGACCCTAAAAAGCACCAGAAAGGCTATACTGTGTACAAAGTCACCGCAAGGGTAAGTGAAGGGAGGATGACCACTCTGACAGCTAGGCTAATGCAAGGTGTTGTTAGCTAGCTATCTAGCTAGCCAAGCTAATATGATGTAAACACAAGTAACGTTACGTTTACCCCTTTGTTATCCGCTGACAGTTGTAACAGCTTTTGTGAACACCACAGATGTAACTAACAGGCACATTTAGACTTGATAATGTTCTAACATCTTAGGTTTTTTTACTCCCAGTGGGTTGTCTAGTTGCTAAAATACATTAGCAATATTAGCAATACTGGCTGAATCCGACCCAAACGTTGTGTTAACCCAATGTTGTCAGGCTACTTAATAGCTAAGGATCTATGTGAAGCGTTGCAAAAGACGAGCATCAAGAAGATAGCGTTAACGAGAACAGTTAGTTCATATCGCCATTATATTTTGATGCAAGTTTCCCAGTTAACTGACTTGAAAGAAGTAACGAGCGCTTTGGGTGCATCCTGATAATCAACACCCGCTATCTGGGATGGAGAAATACCATCGCCTATTTTAACTAAATAAACATGTCAATGTCATAAACTCTCTAAATTATCTGCCAGGATAAAGTGCCTCTCTACTCTGAAAAGATGTAGTTAGAATAAAAAATAACTTTTTCGGTTTTGGACAATGGGGCTTTGAGTAGTAAACATGAGTCCCTGTCCCCATTGATAATATGCAGCAACTCACAGATCAAGTGTTGACATGGATAAGTATGTCTTCTGGTGATTAAATGAAAAGAAATATCTCATTATTTGTCCACACTTCTGTCAGACATCCAATCACCAGTGTGTTCTGTGATTTTACAGCTATATGGGAACATCCCCAGTTTAATAACTTAGGACAAGGACCGGCTGAGTTTCTTTGTCTTCGCCTGCCTGACATCCTGTTTGTTATGAATGTTGGTGATGTCTCGTTCTAACTCTCGAGATTTCCGTCATTCGCTTTATAAAGCACTCATTGTCACACTCAGAGCTGTGTCCCGGCTCATACTTAGCCCCACAAAAAAGTCCTTGTAGCGAAAACCAGCTCTGGCATCTTATATTTTTGATATAAGAACCACACACATAGAGGTTCTAAAGCCTTTAGCCCTCTTCTTCCTCTGCCACACAGATAATCTCCAGGAAGAACCCAGAAGATGTCCAAGAGGTAAGCCATTATTGTCTTTATGTGGTGACTTTGTCAGTGTGCAGAACTTTGGCAGACAGCTGAAGTTTTTGGAAAAGAGTTTGATGTAATTTAACAAGGAATTTTCCTCGGCCTAAGTTGGTTTGGACCTTACAAGACCAATATAATAACATATTTAAAAATTTTGCTTGTTGTGTGTGTGCGTGTGGCTCTGCATCCCTAATCTGCTTCCTTTCAGAGAGTGTAGTTCTTTCTGACCGGAAAATTCAATTGAGAAAATAGTTAATTTAAAAATCAAGAATTAGGCTTACATCAGAAGGGATTTCTCTTTCACACACACATACATTATACATTTTTTACATTGCAAGTTCATCATCTCTATGTCAGTGTACTGACATACCAGCTGTTGTCGTCCAAAGATTTAATGTTAAGGAACGCTTGTCACATCTCCTAAATCCAGTTCTTCAGAGATTGCTCTAGTGTAACCATTTTAAAGATTTATTTTTGGCTCCAGGCAACTGATTTGTTTTTAAATATTTTACCAGAACATTTATCTATCCGTTTTTCTCGTAGTGTTTCATGAACACACAGTAAAAACACACAAACATGCTCTCTTTCTTTTGAAACAAACTGAGGAATGCAGTCCGGCCTGGAACCAGCGCTAATGCAACCGGCATGATGTCAATTACTGCATGTGTGTCTTAGATACAGAGTGACAGAGTTTTGCCTCGATACACACATACCTCTATTGCTTAGTGGCGCTCCTATTTGAGAGTGGTGGTCAACCCAGTTTGTCTCACACCAGCTGCCCAGCCAAGATTCTTGCAACATTATGTTTTTCTTTATTCCACAGAGTAGGGAACTCCATGTTTGTGCGTGAATGTTATGACTTGTATTTGAAGTTTTATTACACAAGATGGTGGTATGATGAGGCTTTAGCTTGTCATATGAGGTGAGTAAAGTCTTCTAAATTTTTGTGTTGTCTTTAACAAGACATAATGAATATTTAAGTTATTCAGATATTGAGGTGCCCTGGTAGCTTACCTGGTAGGTGCTATGGCCGGGCCCTTTGCTGCATGTCATTCTCTCTCCATCTCCCCCTGACTTTCCTGTCTATCTTTACTGTCACTATAAAAAAAAATCTTTAAATTATTCAGATATTATAAAATCAGTTAATTATTGAGATTACTTTTACAGGCAAGTACTAAATCAAGTTACTCTGTCAAGCAGTGTTTGGTAAAGAACATAAATATAATCAGTTTGATATAATCATTCCTGCCCTAAGTCAACGTCCTCTCTATCTTCATCCATCTCTCCTCTCTCCCTCTCTGTAGATAACAGTATGGAAGAGATACAGTGATTTCCGGAAGCTTCATCAGAATCTCTGGCAGCTGCACAAGAATGTATGTAGCCAGTCAGAGCTGTTTCCTCCCTTTGCCAAGGCCAAAGTCTTTGGTAAGAAACTAACCTACTAAATCCCTCTGTGTCAAACATTTGCCCTGATGTTTGCGTTGGACCTAGATCTGCAGAGTCCTTTTCTCCTTTATGATTTTTATTGGCCTCTAGGATCTTAACATTTGGTTTCTACTAAACCTTTAGTGATCTCTAGTGACCAAAGAAAAACTGCAATAGAGTGCTTTAGCACAATACAATAAATCCTGGACCTTTGAACTACAGAAAAAGTAGTCATGACTCTTGTGACGGCTCAGCAAGTACTACTCTTTCTGGATATGATCACCCGCTGAACTTAAGGGAGCTGTTCCTAAGTTTTTGCTATTGTTACATAGCCAACATTAGCATTAACAGCTGTCTACTTTCCAGTTAACAAGAACCGTTGTGAGTTCAGCATCAAACTTCATTCCTTCGGTCTTGTCACTTTCCGATACTGAGTCACTGTAGTGTCCAGTCTGTCCTGAAAAAGTAGTACTGCTGAGACAGCGTATTATAACCATGTATTTTAAATATCACTCTGTGTGTGTCATTGTGTATGCATGCTCAGGTCGTTTTGATGACTCGGTGATTGAGGAAAGAAGACAGTGCTCTGAGGATCTGCTGCAGTTCTCTGCTAATATCCCTGCTCTCTACAGTAGTCAGCACATCCAAGATTTCTTTAAAGTACAATATACACACACAGGCAGAGATACACATCATTTACAGAAAGACTGTGGACTGCAATGTTGTTAATATTTTTCCAGGGCGGCGAGGTCCACGACGGCTCAGAGCTCATTGGCCCCGCTGAGCCCTTTTCGGATTTCCTGGCAGACAGTTTATCAGACTGCAGCTCTGATGGTAGGGTCACTGACACTAACTCTCTCTTTTAATTTACTGTGGCTGTAAATTCACACTTACTCAGAGATGTGTGGACATGTTTTTCAGTTCAAAGAGACATCAGTGGGGCAGATGATTTGACTATCACATCTGAGTATGGAGGTACAGTTTGTTGTTTGTTTGTTCATTAAATTAAAAAATACATTAGATTTCCTGAGGTTTTTGATCATATATAGATTTATTATATAGTGTGTATGTATGTGTCTGTCAGTACTGACCCAGGCATTCTTCCCTCTCCAGGCCCGTCCAGTGACAGCGACCTGACCTCCCTGGCTGTGGATACAGACTCTTTGGCTGAGCTGGATGATGGCATGGCCTCAGGCCGCACCTCCCCAAACCAGCCACAGGGGGGAGCTACCAACATTAGTAGCAGCTGCAGCCCTCGCTTGCCCTCCCTGCACGATCGCCGTACCCCATCTCCTGCGCCTATCCCTGCCTCCTCAGCCCCAAACCCAGAGGTCAGCTGGCCAGGCCGAACGCCGCTCTTCTCTGGCAGTTTGAAGAAAGCCATCGGTGGCAACCCAAAGGACGTAAAGTCAGACTACCTAGACAAAGCCAGCGAGCTCATCTGTCTGGCTGTACAGAAGGAGAAAGAGCAGGATTACCAGGCAGCTTTTTCTTACTATCGCAACGGAGTGGACCTGCTGCTGCAAGGAGTGCAAGGTCAGTTTGGCCAAGAGCTGGCTACCATTTCTGTTAGGTCAGTGGAATCCATTTAAATGCTAGTACAGAAAAATGCTAGTACAGAAACTTTACACCCGAAACTGTAAAAACTGCTTTGTAAAGAAAATTTCTTCTATTCTAATCATCTCAATCACCCCTATTTCAGGTGAGCCCAGTCCCACGCGGCGAGAGGCAGTGAAGAAGAAGACTGCAGAGTATCTGATGCGTGCAGAACAGATATCCAGTCAGCATCTGAGAAGCAACATGGGTCAAGGGTCAACGCAGACAGCGGTGAGTGGGAGGGAAGTGTCATTGGCCCTTTTCCTGTGTATGTTAGATTATGCAAATGTACTTCATATGCTTGTATCCAACAGGGTCCTCAACCCACTTGAGGCAGTGTATTGGAGTGTGGTCGGATTTATTACAGATGAAAAAATCACAGCAAGTCTGTGCTGAAAAATATTAAACCTACCTTTTGAAATACACAATGACAGTGCAAACTATAAACACATATTACTTGGGCCACATGTTTTAAGAGGTCATGATACCTAATGAAGGTGAAAATATTTCCATGAGAAAATTGCACACCATTAAAACACTGTGAAATGTTTCTTTTTTTTCCCCAAGGCTTTGGGGGCACAGTGCTGCCCTTCCACCAGCAGAGGAGGCCAGCAGAGTCCATCTGAAGAGCTGAGAGCTTACAGGGTGTTGGGGGTCATAGATAAGGTCAGTTTACGATAAGCAAGTTGTACATCTTGCTACCAGATTTTGTGATTTTTATTTTGATGTCATTCATTCATAAACCCAATAAATAATTTGTCTTTTTCTACCTGCCAAGAGAGTCTGTACACATAGACAAAAATAGATCTGTGTTTAAAAAAAAAAAAAAAAAGCAGTCGACTTTTCCTGATCCAATGTCAGAATTTTCTCCTTGAATATTAAAGTAAACATTGAAGACAATTGTTAAGGTGAAAACAAAATAATAACCTAACAAAAATAATTACACTTTGGATCATCAGACACTCATTTGTTTAGTATTGAGTGCCAGCCCAGATAATCGTGGATGGTATCTACACCTTTCAACTCCAACTTTTCTCCTCCTTATGTCCTTTCCTTCTTCAACCATCTCTTTTATCTGATGTAATAAAGTGTAATAGATTTACTGGATAGTATAGTAAGGGCTTGGTGTGTGTATGTTCAGCGTCAGTTATGACTACCACAAGGTCAGTTTGGGTTGCTGGTCCTCTCAACCAGCTGCTGGCGAAGCAACTTCACCACTCAGCCATGAAATGACTTGGCAGGCAGCTCAGAAAGCAACACACAACATTGAGTCAATGATGCTCATCCTATACACACACGCACACACACAAAACCCCAAGGAAAATGTTGACACAACACCAACACGTGTTACTCTGCAGAGGTGTACAGAAAATCCAAAATATGTCACAAACAAATAAAAACACAGCAGAAAAAACCACAAACACACACAAGTCAAAACTAGGCTATCCAGAAATGGCCCGCTTTCCTCTCCTCTTTACCCTCCTCCATCTCCTTCCTCCTTTCACTTTTAATGGGGACAGAGGGGACAGATGGAGAGAGCTCCTCACCCTAGTGCCCCCCCTCTGCCCCCCCTCTCCAAATCCCCCCTTTCCTGATGTTTGTGTCTTAATTATATTAGCGCCCTGGCTAGCACTGCCACTCTGTTTACTCACAGCTCCATTCATATCCATTTAGCCTGCACCTGTTTGGTCCCAGCCAGGGTCACATGGAGAAAACGCACCCAGAAAACATACGCACGCACAACACTACGCACAAACACACACCGGGTCACACACATATGCTCAAGCTGTCCCCTGAGGCGGCGAGGGAGCAGAAGAGCAATGGAGATGTCAGAGCAAAAAGAAGGGTTGAAAGCAGGAGGAAATAAAGACATTAGGAAAAAAAGGAGAGACAGAGAGAGGAACTAAAGGAAAGTGAGATGAGAGGTGGTAGGAGCTTCTTTTTTGTTGTTGTTGGAATCAGGGTGCAGATGGGAGGAACGTAGGGATTTAAAGGTGGCATTTATAGCCATTGCTGTGTTTGTTGTGACGCATTGCACAGCTCTCTGGTGACATATTTTTCAAGGAACATGTGTACTCCAAAATTAAAAAATTCAGGAGCACAGGAAAGAAATGTGTGCATCTCATAAAACCTGCAACTAATGATTATTTTCAGTAATGATTACTTTGTCAGTTATTTATTTTCTTGTTAAGTCTATGATATGTCCAAAAATGGCCGTTGTAATTTTTCTGATCGAATTTGTTCAAACAGCAGTTCAGAACCTAAAGAGAGCAAAAAAAAATTAAAAACAAAAAGGGAAAAGTAGAATAATGATAATATTATATATATATTGTCATTTCATTTTTCTGTCACTCACCTAATCAATTAATGAACTAAGCGATTTTCAGTATAATCTGTTTATGAAAATATGTGTTAATTCTGTCACCTTTCCGTTGTTCTTTTTTCCTCTTACACTTGGACTTGGTTTTGTGAACACAGCAGGAGCCGACATGTTAATGCCAGTTTTTCTGGCATAATTTAGGGACCTACATTTATCTTGCGCTGACCCTTATGTGTGCCCTGACCCAGTCGTTGAAAAACACTGCTCTGGAGGACATAACCACTACATCATTTTAGACTGTGTTTAGACTGTCTGTTCATACATGGCAATTAATGGCACTCTTCCATCACAGGTTCTTTTGGTCATGGACAAGAGAACAGAAGAGATGTTCATCCTGAAAGTAAGTGTAGTGTGTGTGGTTGTGTGTATGTGTGTGTGTGTGTGTGTGTGTGTGTGTGTGTGTGTGTGTGTGTGTGTGTGTGTGTGTGTGTGTGTGTGTGTGTGTGTGTGTGCGCCCGCCCCTCATCCTTGTCTTCCTGACTGTAAGTGTAAGTGTGAAGTGTGCCAGAAGCCCCTGTGTGTGACCGGTGTAATTGATTCTAATGGGCCTGTCCCTGTCAGCTCCTCTGCTCTCAGGTGTGAGACGTGTGCCAGATGCCAACGCACAGCGCGGGCACAGATGACTACACACACACACACGTGCGCACATGCCTACACACACTCGCGGCCAATGTGAACTTTACGTGTAGCGCTGATAGATTTATGTGGCTCTTTTAAAGTCACGCGCTGTATGTGGCTTGATGAATCCAGTGACTTTGGCTTGCCATGGGGCATAGTTGGCTCTTCGTTAATGGGAGCTTTCTCCTTTGCCACAGTCCCTTTCTCTTTTTTTTTTTCATTTTACACCTTGTCTTCACACAACCTAAACTCTCTCCTTGTTCTTCCTCCTCCTGTCCATACCCTCTTTATTTGGGTTAACTTTCCTTTTCGCTTCCTGTCCTTAAATCCACAGTCTATTGTTATGCGCCTAGTTCAATTTTAATTACTTCTCTCTTTTCTTATGATAGGGTCTGAGGAAGAGCAGTGACTGTGGGCGGACTAAGAGAACCATCATGCCTCACTCTGTGCCCCACATGGTGCAGCTCAGGAAGTTCATTGTCTCTGAAGACACGGTTTTCCTTCTGCTGCAGTATGCTGAAGGTAAGACGCACACAGCCATTTCTTCCCTTCCCTCTTTCGTCTTCTGTACCTCCGACTGTCTTTTCCCTTCCTTCACCTGATGTCTCTTCCTCTCGTCTCCCGCCCCTCTCTCTGCCCTTGTTCCAGACAGATGTTTGATAGAGATGGGTGTGTGTCACAGGTCATTATTCTGAATACCAGGTGGCACCATGCTTCATTAGCTATGCCAACACCTGGGCCTCCTTACATCCCACTCACTCTAGGATGTGTGTGTGGATTGTGTGGCTGAGTGCATACAGTGAAATGCACCCATTTTAATGCCCTGTGACCTATTCAATCTGGTGTACTCCATAACCAACCTGTGCTAATATTAGTGGACAGTACTGAATATCATATGGGGCTGTTAAACAGAATCTAATAAAGCTAAACAAATGCCAGAAAAGGCATAGTTTCACCACCGTTACATCCCAGCTCTGTTATTCAGAAAACCTGGAGTTGCTCCTTACGCATCTATAGTATGCTGTTAGCAGCTGATAGGTTGAATGAGGATAGACAGGCAGACGGAGGGAGGCAGTGACCTGAGTGACATTGGACAAAACAACATATGGATGGTTTTACTTTCTAAGCCATCGAGCTGCCCCGCTATCATTATCATCACTGTGAACTCCCTATCCATTCTCATCACACACAACAGATGCTGGCTTCCAATTGCTCACACTACAGCTGTGTGTGTATCTGTATGCCTGCGCGTGTCTGTGTGTCCATGTGTTTGTGTGTGTAAGACAGAGAGAAGTCAAAACACTAACATTACACTTGGAGCCTAAAACACACACACACACACACACACACCCAACCCCATTTAGCCAAATTGGTTTCAGTCACAATTGGTATTGTTTACCTTGGTTCCTCATTCCTAAGTGGAAACTAATGACCCTTTTCACCAAATAGTCCTGGTAACCAAGGACCCTCAGAAGCTAGAGTCAGATCCCTCTTGCTCATTCATATTTACACTTCCATCACATCTTAAGAACAGACCCCTGGAGATCCCTTTTCAAAATCTAGTTTTAACACTTCTAATATTTCTGTTGCCATTTTAATGAGGTGGTAAATATTTGAAACACATATTCAAATTATCACACTAACTGACATACAGTAAAGCTAGCTAGAGACGCTGGTTGGTTTCTGAGACCCTGGGAGAATGTGTGTGGGAGCCCACAGCTGATTCCTGCGCCAGGCCTCATAGCGGGATATTTCAGCCGTGTTTCTGTTGTAGATTGTCACCACATTGAAACAACTTTAAGAAGTCTGCTACATAACTTTGTTTAAACATCTATCAACCATCCCTCTTCCTTGTATTTATAGAGACATTTTTGAACATGGTAACTGTAGCTAAGGAACAGAATGTAGCACATGAGACAGCTTTCTCTCTAATTACTCATTCCTCCTTAATGTCCCTGCTGTATCTTCTAACCTCTATATTAGAGTCTTTAATGCCCTGTTTCTTTTATCTTCAGGTGGGAAATTGTGGTCTCACATTGGAAAGTACCTACGTAATTCAAGCCCAGAGGAGAGCTTTGACATTCCTTTCATCCAGAAGAGCCACACAGCAGCTGTACACTCTCCGCAACATGCTGTACCACAGCTGGATGTAGGTTCAGCCAGTTCTGGTTCAGGGCCTGTTGCTGGTCCTGATTCTGTCTCAGAGGTGCAGAAGGAGGGAAAAAACCTCACCGCATCTCCCCTTAAGAGTGTTCTTCCTCCCAGGCTTATGGAACAAACTGGGGCGCAGGCAGACTCTGGAGCCACCTCTGAGGAAGAGTGCACCAACAGTTACTTGACTCTTTGCAATGAGTATGAACAAGACAAAGTAGAACCAGATGCACTAGAGGAAGGAGAAGAGAAGAGTGAACGGGAAATGCTGTCACTGGAAGTGCCCATTGCAACGACCACCACTTCCTCACGTAGCCGCTCACTGCTGAGCAACGACAGCCTCTCTTCACCTCTCAGCTCTCAGGAACTTGGCTTCTTCACCGAGTCGTCTGACAAAAGTGGCAACACCCATGACAATGAGCAAGACCGCGGCGAAGGACAGGACCACAGCGAAGTTTTTAGTCCTTTACCCTCCCCTGTTGTGCCTCTGTCTCTCGATCAGTCCAAGCACACGCCAATGGAGTTTTTCCGTATTGACAGCAAAGACAGTGCAAGCGAGGTCACCTGCCTTGACTTGGGAGAGCAGCGCCCCCCTCAAAAGCAGGTCCCACTCTTTTCTACGTCTGACCTGGGATCGGATGTCACAGAGGATCTTCCAGAGCTGGCTCAGGAAGTCAAGGGCCACAGCTCAGAGCTTTGGTGGTTGGACTGCAGTGATAAAGGCTCCAACGAGTCCGTGCCAGTCATTTCATTTAAAGAGGCAGTAGTGGAGGATGATGGTCACCCGCCAGATCTTTTGGTCAACCTTCCTGTAGTGAGTGGAACTGTTGACTCGTTACAGGAGGAATTAGAGACTTCAGGAGTGTGTCTGGGTCTCGAGGCCACAGCCTCTCCTCAGAAGTTAATCCAGCCTGATGTTTTACAGCTTCACAGCCAGCCTGAGGAAGGGGAGGAGCAGCCACTGGAGCAGGAGCTTTCATCTCTGTGTACAGCCTCTGCAACCTGTGACACCAGTGTTGCATCTTGTTCTCCCCTCCCTTCACTGTGGGACGACTACAGCCTGACATTTGGCCAAGAGGCCTCTGACAAAATGTTTGTTGATCCCGAATGCCAAAATAATGACCTCCCCCTTGATCCAGGAATTCCGGATACTGACCCACATAGTGAGAAACCAGAATCCGGTACAAGAGTAAACACAGACCCCAGTGCAGACTCCATCCCAGCCACAAATGAGACTGAGGCCTGTGCGGTGGTTGAGAGTTTATTAGATCTTGATGGTGAATCATCAAGAGTTGTTAGTAATACAGGTGGCGGCGAATTTGATAAAGAAGTATCACGGCTGTTTGCAGAGCTGGACGAGCTGTCGTTGGCTGCGTCCCAAGCTCGTATCCCAGAGGAGTTTGTGCAGTGCTGGGCCGTAGAGATGGTGACAGCCCTGGATTCTCTGCACCAAGAGGGCATCATCTGTCGAGACCTAAATCCCAACAACATATTGCTCGACTACCAAGGTTAGACATCCATCCGCTTGTACTAGTCGAGTTTGGTTCTGTTTGAGTGTTTTATTCTGCTATTACACGAAGAGTTGAAATATATCCTAAAAATGTGTCTCGGTGTTGGCTATGGAGAAAAAATCATTCTTGCAATATGTGCTGAAATACTGCTAAACAATAACACATGTACCTAGAGATATATTAATTGAATGATAATAATAGTGACCACAATGTTAAAAAAGGGATTAAATTAGCTCAGTGCAAAATATATGCGTGACAGCTGACCCTCCAAAAACTAAAGCAAAGACGAAAAACAATCATTAATGACTTACCTTATGTTTACAAGCGTAAACGTTTCTTCAACATTTTCAACACAAAATCATCCGCTGATTCCTCGTCTGAATTGTCCTCATCAGAAATGTGGGACTGTAGTGGCACACGACGATCTAAATGATCTTTTCCCTTGAAAAGCCAAGCAAGAGTACTTAATTGTCCACATCCTGTATGGTGTCAAAGAGCATCATAAAGGTGGCATGTGCTCATCTTTCTCTCACAACAAGTGTAACATCAGATCCCTCTGAAGCTGCTGTGCTGTGTGTCTCATTTTTGTTCAGCAAAAAATGAATATTTTTTTGAGATTTGAAGTCAGGATCTCTGCTTATCCCTTTCTTAGAGCCAGTTGTATTTGACTGAGGGACTCTCTCCTTCAGTCAACCATGATCTAATCTATTTACCAAAATGAAGGCTCTTCCAGAAGGGAAAGTGTTGTTTTACCAGGAGGTCACAGATTCCCCCTCAACTTCTTCTTTTGTCGTCCTACAATCATCTTTCTCCACCTCGTTATCAACAAGCGTCTAATTAGCTGAGTGGCTGTTTTCGTCTCCCTGGTGGTAATTATTGTTCTAAAGGGCCCATCAACAGCATAGTGTGGTGCATCAGTCTGGCTAGCCCAGGCTAATGGCCACGGCTACCTAATGACACCATTAGTTCTAATGATAGCGTTAACGGGTAGCCGCTAAACAGGAGTAATCACCGGGGCTGTGTGCTTGAAAAGCTCGCAGAGAGATTTAGAGAGGCAGAAAGGAACGGAGGAAGGAAATGCTCTAAAGGTGAATAAACAGTTTGAAAAGTAGAGATTCAGAGTGACACTTGACTGCGGGGTTGACAACAGGTAGAGCATTAGACAGATGTTTCACACTTAGACTCTGAGCTGAACACTTTGTATCTTTTCCTCTCTCCTCAGGTCATGTTCAGATCACTTACTTTTGTAGCTGGAGTGACGTGGAGGAGTCCTGTGACAAAGAGGCCGTTGCCAATATGTACTGTGCACCGGGTGAGATATACATACACATCATACCACAGTTTTTGTTTTTTTCTTATTTACTCATTCTGTACTTATTATTTAGGAACCTCATTTTGGGTATGTTTGTCTGTCAGCTCAAAGGTTTATGTGGGGTTAATTCTATGCAGGCATGCAGGACCATAAGTAGGCCACTTTCCCATGGTCACAAAACCCTCATTCATAGCCAGACATGAATAAACTACCCAAGTGTACACACACTACTCAAAGGGGAAGAAACAAATGAATGCTGTGATTCTTTTTGGCTCTTAAAATGACAGAAATCCCTATTCAAAGGTGCGCCTGCATTCTGTCCTGTTGTTTTATGAGGTGAAAGGCACTGTATATAAGGAATACACAAGGTATACAACTTGGCAGTGTTGTTTTACATTTTGATTATTGCTCAGATTGGTTAATACCCGCAGAATAAATGGAAAATGTCTGTTCTTTTTTTTTTTTTACAAACTTGCTACCACAGTTTTGAGGAAGCTAGATTGTGTTGTAGTACTCTTGTTGTCCTGTAGAGTGTGCTGTTGTGCAACAGTGAGCCTGTAGTGTGGTAACCCCATGTGTTGCCCCCAGCAAGCTTGTGGCAGCTCTGGCATGCTGTTTAAAAGCTGCTTAAAACAAACTGCTGCTAGACTACAGTCCATGTCCCTACTTAGCACTTCTGTGTGTGGCGGGTGTTTGTGTGTGTATGTATGTGTGCGTGCATACGCATGCATTTGGCATCTATGGGTGGATAACTTTTCCAATATGTTGCTGCTTTAAGCATATGGCTTCACACTTGGGCTGTTGGATAGATTATATTTGATGTGTTTAATGACATTTTTCTTAAATATGCAGGATGGTTAACTGTTCGCTGAAAACACTGGACACACTCAGAGACGTACACAGTGACCCTCATACTCATTCACTCTCCCACGCACTTATATTAAGCTATTCTCTCATATTCATCCTCTCTCTCAAGCCAGGAAGGTCACTTCAGATTTAAATCCTCCTTGTGTCTAGAACGTACGGTATGACACCGTTGTAATAAATCTGAAAGCAACAAATGCTCTATCTAATATCCAAAGTGTGCATTTTTATTCCCTTAGCAACAGCTTGTTTAAAAGCCTACTAATGGAAATAGAAGCACATAGAGGCATATGTGCCAGTGGCCAGATGAAGATGACCTAAAGACTCAGTGATAAAGCTCAGCACAAGGAGATGTTTAATGTAGCTCAAAATCTAAGAGCTAAGCCGAGACATGTTTGACAAGTCACTGTTTTATTAATGTAATCATATTATTAAAAGCAGTGAGAGATTTTTACTCTTGTAATAGTGTGTGGGTGGTAGGTTTGGGAGGGGACCTGGATTATGCACACCATTTTTAAAAAATCTGTTATTGTGATCTAAAAATGAAAACAAAATACATATAATGACTTTTCTGATGAGCCCATCGACTTAACAATTACCAGATCATATAGATTATTTTTGAAAGGTCAGCATGTCCTTTATTTTGTTTGACCCAAGGTCATCAGTATAAATATGAACCAAAGAAAACCAGGTAAATATTCCCTTTATAAAAAAAACTGTAAACACCTTTTCACTTGATACCAAACTTAAATGTTAAATCCATTGTCATAACTAACTTTTAAGTATTTAATTGCACATTGGTTAATTGACTAAAATGGCAAAGGAAAAAGTGTCCTCAAGTGTACTGAAAAATCATTAGTGGTACTGTCTGAATCACGTTTGAGGGATGTTTACCTTCAGTTCACATATATCTTAATAGAAATGGATTCGATGTAAGAATATTTTTAAGTCAGAAAATATCCATTATGACACGTTGGGGATGATGTCAGTAATGTGAACTGGAATTTAACTGACCTCAGCCCAGGTGTGAAAGGTCCTGTTAGTTAAACGACTGTCGATCCCTTGTGGATCAATGGATGTAATGCATATTAGCAGCCAGCAGGGGGTGTGTTATGCTATCGTTAAGCGAAGAGATCACTTCCACGTCCACTGACAGTCCTACTCGAACACAGGCAACTTTCTCTCTTTTTCTTGTCCTTCATTCTGTCCACCTTTTTGTTGTTGTTGCTACACACATTACAAACAAGCACTTTTTTTCATTTTTCATTTTTTTGAACTTGCTTGTATTTATCCCATCTCCCCCCAGATAAATGCATGTACCTGATGTAGCTGCATGCATTTATCTGTAGATGTATGTGCTTGTGAACACACACACACGCACACACACTAACACAGAGGTGAGGTTAGTGACTATGTGTGTCTCTCCTGCCCTTGTTATGTATTGCTGTTTATCCAGACAGGGTCAGCTCTAGCGATGGCTTCATTCCTGATGACAGATTTATGACTGTTTGCCAGAAAGCTAGCAGGGGGCCTGCTGTGACCGTATGTGCGCTTGTGTGTATATATATATATGTGTGTGTGTGTGTGTGTGTGTGTGTGTCTATAAGAAGGAGGGAAACATGTTTTTTATAACACACACATTCACATCGAAAAAAAACAAAGGAGTGGACTCGGAAAATACATTGGCAGGGTGTTAATCTGTTTATTCTGCACTTCTGCTTATTTACTTTCTCGCCATTCCGTCATTACTGATAAACATCACATGGCTTGTTCTCTAATAAGAAAAAAAATACAAGCTGTTGAGGGACAGTGAGACGCAACCTAATTTGACCAGAAATCTGTATTGTTTATTGTTCTGTTAAGAGGGAAGCAAGGCCAACACCGATTGTCTTCAGTGTCTAAGAAAAGGGAAATTCAATATTCTTCCTCTCTGAGGTAAAAAGTCTGTTACTGAGGCTTAAAAGTTAATACTCGCTGTTTGTTTTCTCTGTTTTTTTTTTTTTTTCTCTTACCTGCTCAGCCAGAGAATGATCTTATGGCAAGATAAAGTTTAGTTCCCCTTTTGACACTAAGCTGTCATCTCATTGTTTTGAAAAGATTTCCAGGGAAGAAACTGTACTCTAAAAGTACTTCTGCATTATTATTTAAATAGTTTCACTCTGCCATCACAGTGCAGATGACACATAGATTTGTTTTGAATTTATAATTCAGTTGCTTATATCAAGAATTGGCAGCATTTCAACGGAGCCTCCCATGCTCGCAAGACACATACTTGCAGTCTTGGAACATTGCAAACCGATCCCTCCTTACTTCCTACCTGCGTATACTTTACTTCCTCTTTCAACAATGACTGTCAGTTAAGTTTTTAGGGAAGTCGGTCTAAGAGGAGAAGAGAGAAAGTTCCTTATGGCCCCCAGGAGGGAGGAGATGGAGTGTGATTAAGATACAAAGCAGGAGGGAACTGCATTGTTGCAGGAAAAGGGAAGAAGAGGCCACAAGGTGAACACACGGTATTGTTGTAATGGTGTTGTCTGAACTCCTCAGCTCTCATTCTTTTGTTTTCTTAGAATTCCCCCAATTAATTTGTAAGATGTGCAGTTTCAAGAAAGACAAAGCCAAGTTAGTGGAAGTATTGTCAAATTTGAAAATGTCCACATCACACAGAACACATCAGTGGGCTTTGAATGACCTATGGCCTGTGGATGCAGTTAATTCTCCTTTCCCATCCTCTTTCTCTCTGTCTCCCTTTCTCCCTGCCTTGCTCTGACAGAGCGGTAAGTGTAGCCAGCTCCACTGTACTCTCCCTGCAGCTCCTTAGACATTAATCCATTGTGATGACATCGACCTTGCTCTGAGACGTGTGTGTGTGTGTGTGTGTGTGTGTGTGTGTGTGTGTGTGTGTGTGTGTGTGTGTGTGTGTGTGTGTGTGTGTGTGTGTCCAGTGTCTCCCCTCTAGCTCATAACTGCGCAGGTATCACTAGTCTGTTCAATGACGATCTTCTCTCCTTGGCTGTCAAAACAGTAGTCCTGGGGAGCCCTGAAGACTGGTTGCTCAGTTGGCTGTGTATTTGTGTGTGTTTGTGAGTGTTTGTGTGTGTGTGTGTACAAAACGTGTAAGTCGTATCATAACCCTCTCTAACCTTGGCTGCAAGAGAGCCACACAGGCCTCTGGAGTTCCCGGCAGCTTCCAGGAGATGAGGGGTCTTTGTCTCTTATGCTCCCGCAGCTGAGGAGCCCAGTCTCTGGGCACACACAGCCGTGACCCTGGGTCCCGGCCCTCTGGGTGACCAGGCGCCCTCCCTCTGGAGAGAGCAGAGAGGAGGGAAGCTGAGCGGCACAAGAGGCCATCTGGTACCCAGTGGAGCTCACACACATACACACACACATACACACACACATATACACACTCACTGAAACATACATTTTTGACTTTAGCGAACAAGTATCACTCCTGGTTTCTGTGTCTTGCTTAAACAGACACTGTGAGTCCCAACAGTCCCTTGGGCTCTACATCTAAATCTCACAGAATGTGGCTGTGAGCTTCAGCTGTAGCGTTTAGTCAATTGACAGAAAAAGAAAAAAAAAAAAATCAACTGATTGTGTAATTGACTCATCATTCAAGTCATTTTTCAGGTAAACATTTTAACTGTTTAATTGTTACATCTTCTTAAATGTGACAATTTGCTGCTTTATTTTTATTGTTATCGTCAACTGAATCTCTTTAGAGTTTGGCGTGTTGAATGGATTTGGGTTTTACTACATTGTGATTTACTAATATGCCACTATTTTCCTGACATTTTACAGACCAAACATTAATCGTTTGAGAAAATAATCAGCAGATGAGATCAATAAGATTATTTTCAGGAGCTGAAAATAAGTACAGGGGTAAAGAAAACTGAAAAGAAATGTTATACTGTTTGTTCTCATGTCCCTGTTTTCCATTTCTTAGTGAGTGTGTGTGTGTCTATATTATATGCGTGTGTGTTTGAGGTCAGGTCATGCAGATGGTGTGAAGTTGCGGCACAGACGGTTTCCTCAATTTAACTGCTTTTTTATTATGCAAATAACCCTTTTATGAGACACACACTTGTTTGTGTGTGTGTGTGTGAGAGAGAGAGAGAGCGTGTCCGTGTTTTTGTGCTCATTTTGAATCGATCGTGTGCGTTCAATGAAATATTAACTAATCCAAGATGTCATCCTGGAATTGTTTAATGTTGAGGGTTTGAAAGCAAGATACCTGAAGCAGCTTGTAAGCTTAAGATCAATAAATGATTTTAGTTATACATTTTGAATTATTCTCTCATTTTACATTGATCACTAGTTGATAATTCTCACCTATGCTCCTCCCCAACACATAAGCTATTTCTGTGCTTGTTAATTTATTGATTAATTCTCTCTCTTCCTCTTTTTTGCTCCTGTTTCAGAGGTGGGAGGTATCAGTGAGGAAACAACAGCGTGTGATTGGTGGAGTTTGGGCGCCATCCTGTTTGAGCTCCTGACAGGCATGGTGAGTCAAAAAAGTATTGAAAAAAAAAAATGTTATCTTTGTTGCTAAGGTGTTGTGGGATGTCTGTAGGTGTCTTGGCTTTCAACTCTCTCACACTCTTTATGGTCGTGCCAGGTTGTGTGTGATTCTGTGCGCGTGTCTGTATGTGTTTGAGTAGGTGGAGTTTGTTGTTTTGGTGTGTGTGCGAGGTGCGTCTTGGCTGCCGTCTCTTACTCTGGTTCTCGGGGAGTGCCAGGGGTGTCGGTGTGACTTTCTCCCCCAGCCTGAGCTCCATCTGCTGGGCCAGGGGGTCAGCTCTCCCCGGGCCCCTTTGCTGGCTCCTGGAGCAGCGCCGGGCTCTGAGCGCACTGACCTCGGATCGGCGTGGAGGGTGAAGACTGGGGCAGCTCTCAAGGTGCTGCAGCTCGACTGGTCCCGGATCAGGGCTGTCTGAGGGACCTTCTTTCAAGACAGGCTTGGGAAGAGGGGGAAAATCATGTTTGCAAGGCAACAAATACATATTCAGCTGTTACATATATGTACACATGCAAGTGCTAATTATAACTTGCTCTCTTGAAGGACATATACACACACAGACACCCAGTGCAGGTGCAACGCGTCCCTCCAAGTTTTCATTGTCTATTAAATTTGGATAAATTCTAACTGATTGCCAGTGGGCATACTTTTGTATCAACCATCAGTGGTTCCCTTCAATGGTCCAAACATGAGTCGGGGTGTTAGGTTAGTGTAAGTATGTTGAACAATACACATCCACACTTACCTGAGAGAGAGAAAAAAAAAAAAAAAACTCACACAGATGTCTCCTTTGATGATTATGTCTGGGTACAGTCCTGGCAAGGATACACACACACAGGCACACATAGTGTCTCTTGATCCTTGCAGGATAAGATCTTGCCTGGAGCAGTCTTGACTGCAGCTAGGAACCTAGCCAGAACTCCCGCAGCACATATCAGGAGAGGGGAAGAGAGAGAAAGAGAGAGAGATAGAGGCAAACCGACCTCACTGATGGAAAGAACACACAGGGTTCCCCAACACAGTTTACGGTTTTCTCTTGCCACACGTGTTCTGCTCCAGCATTTTCAGTTTGTTGGTGTAGATGCACTGAAAGATGTGCAGTTGCAGTATACGGTGATTACAGTCATTATTGGCAATTATTTTAAGAATAGGACTACATTCTGTGGTTAGAAAAGCACTTGCAGGTCTTGTGCTCCCTTTTACTCACTTCTGGGATTAGTTTTGCTTTATTTTCCTGTGAGTGCAACAATTTCTTGTTAACTGAACTGACAGTTTGACCTGGATGGTCAAAGGTTTTACTCTGGAAAACAAATCAAAAGGCTTTACATTTACTGCTGACTAACTGTTAGCTCTTCCAGTAAGCTTGCTGTGTGTAAACAGAGAACAAACTAACCAAAAACAATACATTTTTCTACATCATTCTTTCTGTGACTCTCACTCTGTCTGATACATGCAGCAGTTCCAAGAAAGAGCAACAGTGATGAAACCATGCCCTTGTTGTAGTTGGTGCGATCAATGTTGATTCAGGTGCACTGGCTCTTTGGTCTCCTCCTATTTGTCCAGTCCCAATGCGCTCACATTGACCTAGGCTCTGCGGGTGTCATTATATCTGTCCCCTCAGCTCCCAGTGTGTCTTTGTTTTAAATTAATGGTTATCTACCTCTCCTCTTTCCACCCCTCCTTCCCTCAACACAGTCTCTGCTCCGGTGCCATCCAGCAGGAATCGGCCGCCACACGGCTCTAAACATCCCCGAGTCTGTTTCAGAGGAGGCCAGATCTCTGCTGGAGCAGGTGAGAGTCTGGTGTGCTGTTTGTTGCTTTTTCTGTATGAAATTCAATGTTTTGCAGAAACAGAATTGAAAGAAAAACTTTTTTTTTTTTTTGTTTTAAAGTTCACTGTAGTTGAACACACATTGAACACACCTTCATCAGCAACAACAGCAGAAATAATTCATCACCAAAGATATTACTAAAATAAGAATCAAAACTACACATCATTTTAACTGCCTAAAAAGACTAGGAATTTGTGTTTTTATGATAGATTATGACAGATGAACAAATATACGCTACATGTGGTGGACATGTGCTTAATGACAGCTTGCTCCATGCTAATATCTTAACACTAACGGCAAATCCTCAAAACTGGCAATCTTTAGATATGTATTAATATGGTTAGCCTGGATTTATCTCTGCTGAGTGTAGTACAAATCGGCCATGAACCCAGTGTCGTTGTGCTGTGAAGGACTGGATGTATGGACTCTACAGAATCCCTTGTTACTTAAGCTGTAAAATTTTAATCTGGATTGCCTGTTGTCTGGGCTCTGGTAGCACAGCTCATTAGTCATTACACTCATTAACAGTTGTTCAGTGTACTTAGCTCACTGGCTGAGAGATGCTTCTATGAAAATGAGGTTTTCTTTTTTTTTTTTTTTTTTCTTGTTCAGATTTCACATTGTAGCTTCTTTATTTAATATTTTGTGTCTGTCTGTTTTGATCTCGGCCTTGTCTTCCTGTGCAGCTGCTCCAGTACAACCCAATGGAGAGACTCGGGGCAGGAGTGGGAGGCGTGGATGATATTAAATCCCACCCTTTCTTTGCCAGAGTAGACTGGCCCAAGTAGACGCTGTGCATTGTGGGACTGCAGAAAACAGAGTTGCGTGCTGGGAAACTGGCAGTCCTGAATGAACTCCCTTCAGACTGGACACACAAGCAGATGTACAGTAAATCCAGATTATGCATTTCTGCACACATCTCCCATTTTGCATATGGCCATTAGTCCCCATGTACTTGATTTTTTTTTTTTTTTTTTTAATTTTTATAGAGTGTGCCAAGCAGCAGTATTACCTTCCCTGTAAATTGCTCATTTCTTTATCTCTCGTTGAGGGTTTACTGTGTAACTTTTTTGGTGCAGGGAACACTTAACAACATGTGCGGTGCAATAATTTATACAGTAAGTGCTTGTACTGAGTGATGATCCACTACAGCATTGTTGCTTTTACTCTCCTCATACAGTAGCTGGAAGCCAAAATGACACAACTGGAAGTGAGAGGTGACATTTAGTCCTGTTTTCATTGCATTAATTAAGTACTGTATGTTATCCAGTCTAACTGACACAGACTTAAGTCACCTTTCGGAAAAACCCATGTGCAATTTGTTGCCACCTATAACACTCATGTCGTTCCTCATGGTGCACATTGAGATTAAATTGGGACATCTTGAGCTTTTGCTTTAATGCTGGGGTTGTGTTGTTGCTGTGATGCTTAACAATACTCATTTCCTACAACACTGTCAAACTTTTTTTTTTTTTTTGCGCCAACCCCTTTTACTGCCAACCAGGCCATGTATGGTAACAGATGGACACTATGCAAGGTGAATGAACAAAATCTCCTGAGTTTCGAGGTTTTGATTTTGATTCTGAGTGATGAACTATTTATATTAAGATTGAGTTATTTAATGGATTATAGCTAAAAAAAAAAAAAAAAATTATTAAATAAAAAGGGCCAGTTAAACAAAGAGAGCCTTTTGTCTGTGTGGACAGTGAGACTTTTTCATTCAGGAAAGACAGAATAATGAAGGCTCAATCAAGGCTTGAACCACACATTTGAAATCAGTCCATTTACAGATTGTAGTTGATTTTATGAATATCAGAGGAAGCTCTCTGTACTGTACAACATTGCATTTTGTGCATGTAAGAATATGATTTATGTAATATATTTAATACTATGAAAAATCTATCGAACAATAAATAGTGTTTTGTAAATAAACCTTTTAAAGGATGTTGTGCTGAGTGAAAGGTACACCCAGGTGTCACAGCCTTGATTATGTTCAACTTGTCAATCACATACTGCCTCATCAATCACAATCAATGTGTTTGAGCAACACATCCACTAACCTGCCACATAGAGCTTAATCCTGATTTTATAGTATCTATAATGACTGAATGATATGGTAAACATTTTCATGGTAACATTACAGGCCATATATTATCACTTGTATAATCAGATGACACAAACACATTTCTCTTAACAATACTCAGATAATCACTCCACTGTAGAAGCTGCACTGTTTACTCCACTGTAATGTTAACAGACAATGTAAATAATCCATCTTCAGTTCCACTTATTAACCCTTTTTATCAGACATAAACATCACAGTGGGATCAGATTTTTTTCTGGTTTCTATTGAATGCCCACTCTTGTCTGTGCTGTATGTCTGTGCCGGTCTGTCAGTGCATTCTGGAAAACAATAAACATACCTGGATGAGTACATGAACAGCTGTGATGTTTTCTTTGTAGACAATGTGTCGTGTGTTGTGTGTGTTTGCTCTGAGGCTACAGCCCCTCTGTTATCAGCTGGACTGATGATACTCCTAGAAAGCTGCTGTCACTCCTCCTGAGTGTCAACCATGACTGTAATACAAGCCAGCACGCACACACACACACACAGCATGGTATAAATACTAAGCATTCATTGATACTTTTGGCCGTTTTGGGGCACAGTGTTTCTTTTTCTGCTCTGCTTCTGCCGGTGTAGCTACTCAGCAGTGTGTCCATTCAACCCTTCTGAGCTTTCCATTAAGCAGCAAGGGACGTCCAGGTACACTAAGGACTTGTGAATTTCATAAGTAGTTTTCACCATGATCAGGCAAAGCAATGCAGAGAAACGGCCGATTCCCTGATGTTGCATCTTGAAGAAGATTTGTATTTTTGACAAAACCTGAAAATGGTTGCCAACTTAAAGGTGGACTAAGCAGTGCTGGAGAAAGACTGTTGGTATTTGAACTCAACAGCAAAACAAAAATGCCCTTCCCTTCAAAAGCTCCGCCTCCTAAATTCATGGACGTGCATTGCCAAAGCACTGTGGTGGAATCCAGAGCTTATACTGTGAGGGATTGAATACTCATAGCTGAAGCAAAACAAACCTTATAAAACTTCATCAAACAAATGACATGCACACAGCGGAGTAAAAACTAGAGTTAGTTGTTTAGATTGTTTTTACAGAACTACAGTGACAGAAGAGAGGACTGATGGTTTGTAGCGAAGATAACAAGAAAGGAAATATTACCCAGTATTGCATTTCAAACTATTTATCCAACCAAATAAATCTACTGTGCTAGCAAACTTTGTTTTTAGGTCTTTGTGGCTGTAAAACCTTTTGCACATTTTACAGATTAATAACATGATACAGAGTTTTTACTGGTCCCATCAGTCTCTGTCCCGGACATCTCTGTGTGCCTGTCATTTGGGGAGCAGGCAAGTCGCAGTGGATAAGTCCAGGTCTGAATTTCTTTCCCAGTCCAAACATGCAGTCTCCACTGGCTTCTCGCTCTTCTCCAGGAAGAAATCACCCCCCCAAAACAGAAAAACATGGATTTTCTACGAATTGCAAAAAGAAATTATAACACCATATGCTAACCATTTCCAGGCTTTGTGTTATGCTAAGCTAACCAGATGCTGGCTCTAGTACAGTATTAAGCATGTATTCATGGGAGTGGTATAAGCCCTCTCTTCTTGCCCTTGCCAGAAAGCAAATAACACCATTATCTAAAATGTTGAACTATTAATTTATTTAGCAGAAAATGACTTGCTGGTTGATTTCCTGGACCTGATTTGATCCTAAAACAATGGGGAAAACAAACTATGACTCATCAAAAGACAACAGACAAGACTGGCTAAAAATGCCAAATTTGGGAATGGTAATTTTGGAAGCATTTGGAAATGAAGCCAATTTATTTTACCTTTATCAAGAAAATTTACATTCTAGGCAAGTACAGATTATCCACAGGGCATTCATTTTGGTGACTGGGGACCTCCAACATCTAGGGGGCCTCCTAACCCCCACCAGCTGTGGCTTTATCTTGGCTTTTTTTTTTCTTTTTGTTCAAATCACATAAATTAGTTGTATGTTGAAATACGAAACAATGAGTGCAGAGTTACTTTAAAAGCTTAAAAAAAATTTATTACGATCGGTTTGCTGGCTGTGTCTGTATCGTGATGATGACGAAGGAGGTCAGAGGTCAGGTGGTGACCGTCAGAATTTTGCGGCAAAGCGGCCGGTTGTTTAAGATGCTTCTAAAACATCATGGAAAATAAACATTGGAGAGGTGTAACAGCAGAGAGAAAAGCGAAAAAAGAAAAGGACGAAGAGAAACTCAAAGTCGGACAAACATACCATCTCTCTCGACTTTTACTCGGCTTGCTATAGCATTAGCAAGGAGCCTGGAGAGGACGGTGCTAACATCGCAGAGGACTAACACAAGCAGAGACACCTGTTCAACTGCCCCGCCCTCATCTCCACCTGAGTAGGTTGAGTGGGTTACCAGTTTATCAGCCCCACAATTTATTATTTTCTACCTGTTTTCCCATACTTTGAGAATTAAAAATTAAGAATGAGGCAACGCTTGAACTCTTTATCAGTACTGGCAATAAGAGTCGGAAGTCGTCAGACACCTGGACTTAAATGATGAGTTTTCGAGGAGAAAGGCCAGAAAGAAGACCATCACATAAGGTAGGCTTTCTCTCATATTATTGTGGACTGTCCTAACTCACCGTATATGTTTTTGTCGCCAAGGTGTTTATACAGTGAGAAGTAGTTGACATTGTTGGTTTTGAAAACCTATTTGTCTATTGTATCATTGCGTGTCTATACCAGCAGGATGGGTGATATGATGTAAATCCTGTATGATACAGGTAACATACATGATTTGTTATAGGTCTACCATCTCTCTCTCTCTCTTTCTCTCTCTCTCTCTCTCTCTCTCTCTGTGTGTGTGATGGAAGAATCTGAATCATAGTACTGTATTGGTGGAGGTGGGGCAGCATGTGCTTGTGTATGCCATTCAGCAACACGCTCCAAAATTTTGTGCCCAGGGGCCTCTGCATTCTTAATCCGGGTCTGATTCTAGTCTGAACTGAATGTGAACTCATTCCTGGTACGTCTCTTATTACCTGAAATGACACATGCTCATCCAGACACACACATTCACACACAGGTCAGAGCAATTGTTAGCAGTGTTGGAGTGCGTTCCCTTGTGTCAGCCTCACTGCCACAGGGTCAAGAGTCTGGACTGATTAGTGCTCGTCATAAGACCTGTGTCTCATTACACACACGCGTGGGGCGAGAGGTTCACTGCAGCTCAGAGAAGAAACCTGTCAATCGTACTCAGTGTAGATGTGAGATGTGCCTTCAATGCGTTCACAATAGCCGGCAAATCCCTCCGAGCACGTTTTATGCTGCTACAAGAGGAATTTTGTATGTACACTGATGGTTCACATTGTATGATATTGTCTTGTATGAGCTTAAACAGCCCATAACACAAGCATTCATTTTATTTTCTTGTGTATAATGTGGTTCATTACAACAAATATCTCAAACTGGCACTACAAACTGACTTCTATTTGCAGTGGTGAAGTACATTTACTCAATTATTGTGTTTAAGTGCAATTTTGAGGTACTTACACTCAACTTGGGCAATTCCATTTCCTGCGACTTTATACTTCTACTCCACTACTATTCAGTGTGAAATATTGTACTTTTTACTAAACTATTATCAGCTTTCTATTTCTGTAGCTATTCTGCAGATTTCACATAAAAAATATTGTTAATGATTTCATTTAAGTAATTGTTTAATTATAAAAGAGGTAAAATAATCCACTATTTTACAAACAAGCAAAGATTATATAAAAGCCTAGAAATAAATATAGATAGGTGTAACAGAACTTTTGCTTTTCAAACCATAAGATTTATCCTGTGACCCTTGTGATTTCACTACCTAACTGTATACAAGGTAGTTAAATAAGGTGAAATGCTCCTTACGCACTGATGCTCAGTTTTCTTAGGTAGGATTTTGAATGAAGGATTTACAGTAATTGAGTATTTTAATATTAACCAGTTGTACTGGTACTTTTACTTGAGTGCTTTTCCACCACTATATATTTGGCTCCTCACACACAAAGAACCAAGGTGCATGTGTTTTACATATGTGTGTGTCTTTGTGTGTGTACAAAGCCACAGGGAAGGATCCGTGTGGTCAGAGGCAAGATTAAGAGGACATGCCAAGGACGCCATGATGCAATACAGGCCTCTTGTTAAGAGCCCTGAAAGCGTCACCCAGGCCTGCAGGCTGAATTGACCTCTGAACCCCTTCTGCAACTTCCTGGACCTCCCTCTCTTTCTCTCTCTTTCATCTCTCTTTCTCTGCGCTCTTTTCCCACCTCTCGCTCTCTCTCTCCTCAAATGTGCCTCCCCTCAGCCCAGCTCGCACCCATCGCTTTCACAGAGGCACCAGTGAGCGGGCAGCAGCCAAATGGCCTGCCCTCTGCTTCATATTGCTGGTGGTCAGGTTTTGTTTTTGTCTTTGACGGTTTGACTTTCGTTCACAAAGCCCAGGAGGACTCCTATAGCCCAGGGATGGACACACACACATACTCTCTCACACACAAGCACACACATACACTTGCGCCAAACTGAAGAGGTCTGCTCTGAGACCTCGGGCATCTTCTCCAGCTTCTGTCAGAGCCATGATGTCATTATGAAGAGACACAATGCCTCTTCATTATCACCCCCCCCCCACACACACACACACACCCCCCTCACACACAAACACACACACATCTTTACCACTGCACAGACACACACGCAAGCTACAGAGTCAACAGCATTAGAGCACATGAGGTACAGGTGAGCCGCACTGTAAAACAGGTAAAGTTGTAAAAACAATTAAATTAATGATTTACTACAGTTCTTAAGTAGTTGTTTTTTTAGGCTGATTTTAAATGCTTCTTGTATTTAACATTAGGATTAAGAGGAAATAGGCAAGTAATCAATTTGTTTTCCCTGATGTACCCCCTCAGTTTCCTTCTCATCCACACACAGTGTAGGATGCTGCATCATGAAATCTGTGTCACAATAAAAAACTCATGTGGCTGCAAACTCAACTTTCTACATATTAAAAAATTATAAATTCTAATATTTCATTTTGTCCATACAGTTTCTGCCCATTGCTTAATGTGGGTTTGTAGTGTAACAAGCAGCAGCCGGTGTCCAGTGTCATCCTAAGGGAAGGGATCGAACAACATCAATATAGAGAAGAAAAAGCAAAGCCACAAACCAAAACCACTGGTGTTCAGTTGTACTAAATCAGTGTTCAGTTACCAGCCACAGCACATATATATCTTTTCAAAATTATATCATAACCTCTACGGACATTTGTGTGTAAGATAATATCCAGTATATAAATCCAGTGCGATACTCCTCCTTCCACTGTACCTATA